GTGATTGCACAGTGCGACTATGGGATGTGGCCACGGGTGGGGAACGCCGCAGCCTGCAAGGCCACGCAGCCTGCATTACAGCAGTCGCTTTCTCACCTGACGGGCAGACGGTGGTGTCGGCCTCTGGTGATGGTACAATGCGACTATGGGATGTAGTTATAGGTAGAGAACGCTGCAGCCTGCAAGGCTATACATCCTGGTTTACAGCAGTCGCCTTCTCACCTGACGGGCAGACGGTGGCGTCGGCCTCTGATGATGGCACAGTGCGACTATGGGATGCGGCCACGGGCGGGGAACGGATATATAACGTTGGGTCGGCAGTTGAATTTTTATCATTCTCAGCTGATGGCTGTCATCTCATTACTGACCGTGGTTCACTCACCGTGAGAAATCAACCACCTAGCTCCTCTATTGAGCATTCGGGGCGGAATATTCTTATAGACGAGAAATGGATAACCCGGGGCGGCCAACGTTTGATCTGGCTGCCACCTGAGTTTCGAGCGACATGTATGGCTTTCAGTCACAATTGTGTGGTTCTTGGTCATGTATCTGGCCTCTTGGCATTCCTTTGGTTAGTATAGTGCGTCTGCTTGATAATGCGTTTTTAAGGTTCACCTCAACTCAGTGTATATTAATCTTATTATATTTTACTCTCTTTGTGAAAGGAGGGCATGGGATGTGCCTTCAATTTATTTTTCGTTGTCTTGCCACATGAGGCTTCTAGCAGATTCCACTTAGAGAGTGTGGCCCATCCCCATGTGCTAGCCTTCGCCATTCTTATAGTTATGGGGGCAAACGGTAGTTTCCTGACATCATCAACTAATTGTAGAGGTGGACGTAACAAGGTTGATAGGTGCTGGCGTCCAGTCACCTTGCACGGTACTAAAATTTGCTATCATGACTGAAAGGGTCGGTCCTGCCTCTGTCTTCCTGTATATGGTATATTTGAAAAGGAACCTTCACTCCACCGCTACATATCATTAACAATTTCGCTTCGAGATATTTCCCTCTCATATTGTCGACCTCACAAAATGGTCAACTCATAAGTTCCAGCAGTCCACGCGAAGTCGGATTCAAAGTATTTAGTTAATTGTGAAGTCCACACGATTCCCACAGACTACTGGACTGGAAGATATTTTGCATTTTCGCACAACATTTGACAAACCATTTATGTATAGAACCGATTTACATCTCATCAATTGTCAAGCCGGCGTGTCTAAAATGCCCTTGGGTGCTTTGCTCTTGCATCCCGACAGTACAATATCAACACACTACTCCAGGAATTAGTCAAAGCCTTGGCTGTTATCATCCTCGTAGAAATGCCAGTTTCGCTTGTTGAAACATTTGAGGTGAGCCACTTCATCTGTTTGCCTATGAGATATCTACGTTCTCTGTGGAAGAAGGTGCTCTGTGGCTTGAATATATCTCTCACCCACTCACGCACACGCTGCCGGACGGCATACAGCAGTCGATTCCGCGTATCCGTGACCTGTCTCTTCAGATCGGTGTGTTGATCAATTCTTTAACCAGTCTTTTTCCGACGACGATGGAGTCTCCGGCGGAATGCATCCCGCTTCCGAATGGGCTTTCTGAAGCCCGTGGATACTCATCGACTGTGGCTTTCACACGCATCAGTAAGTTCTTGGGTCGGCTTCGGTCAATTCATTGTTCTATCCATGTATGCCTCGCGACATTCGCTCCACATTAGTATCAGATCAAGGTAGCCCAGGGAACTATGGGCATGCGCCAGGACTTACTACACTTATCTGAGTACGGTGCTGCCGCCATACCGAAATAGATGTGTGATTGTCAAGGTTCAGTAGCTCAATACTGATTTGGAAATTCACGAGCAGTTGCGGGGAGCTTCGCCGGACTGCGGGATGCACGCAAGGATGACCCACCTTCTTAGGTCAGTAGGCCAATCAACATTTACTTCTGCTACTTGGCAGGGATGACTGTGGTTCAGCTGGGAGCTGCTTCGTTACTATTGGACACCGGGCTTACAGCTCAGCGTGGTCTGAAATAAACTCAGCGTGGTCTAACGCTAAATACGGAACAACTCTTTTCCATTTTAACCATGATGAGGTCTTTATTTTTCATAGAAATTACATATTTTCAATATACTGAAAATATGCACATTTTAATCCTAAGCTTAGAGTATTCAAAAAAAAAAAAAAAAAAGACTCCCTAATAAAATACCCTAATAAATATCCTAAATACCCTAAAATCCCTAAATACCCTAAAAAGTTCTGATATATAGCTTATTATAGGCTCATCGTGGTCTAAAACTAAGATTCTTGACCATGATGAGCTTTTGCCAAGAACAGGTTCGGCGTGGTCTGAAATAGGCAGAATGTTAGACCACGCTCACCGTTTTTCAGACCACGATGAGCTGCGACCCGGGGCTGAGAGACTTGCCGGGTTGACTCCATTCAAACGTAAGCTGATAATACCCTAGTGAATACAGCCACCAACCAGGATCGTCTGACATGTGTGTGCTAGTATCGTCTATTTTGGGGGCCATTTTCAGACAAAGGAAATTGACTAACTCCGGGTCTGTCCACGTCGGAGCCATGCGTGAGACCCCGCCCGCTGTGACATTGGATTTATGAAGCTATAAGATCCTACTTGGTCTCAGTGAGGTCGCAGTCGTCCACACGACAAAATCCCTATCCCGTCTAACTTATCAGAGAGTGACATCCAACCAACACAATGAGCAAATCCTACGAATACGTGATCTGTGGCGGTGGTACCGTGGGATGCGTTCTCGCCAGTCGCCTCTCCCAGGCTGGACACAACGTCCTGGTCGTCGAGGCGGGCGCCGAGGACTACAGCGACCAGATCATGAGTCCGGTCGCGGCCCCGCATCTCCATGGCACAGACGTGGAATACAACTTGACGACGACCAAGCAGCCCGGACTGGGCGACCGCTCGGTTCCCAACTACGGAGGCAAACTGCTGTCGGGCTCGAGTGGCATTAACTACGGCCTGTGGACGCGCGGGCACTCCGTCGACTATGACTCCTGGGCCAAGGTTGTGGGCGACGAGCGGTGGAATTATGCGAATATGCTCAAGTTTTTCAAGCGGACGCAGACGCACCACGATCCGACCGGAAGCCCGGACAAGTACGGGTTCAGTGGGCCGATTTCCACCACGGCGGCGGCTCGTCTCTACCCGCTGCGGGAACAGATCCGCCAGGCCATGTCGGCGGCCGGTCTCGAATACAACCCGGATACCAACGGCGGCAATCCGCTGGGCTTTGGCGCCTTCACGGAGAACTGGAAGAATGCGCGCCGCCAACCCGCCAGCCAGGCCTACGATCTGTCCAAGGCGACCGTGCTGACGAACGCCGTCGTCGCGCGGGTGGATGTCGACGACACCAAGACCGCGACAGGCATCACGCTGACCGATGGCACCCAATACACCGCCACGAGAGAAGTCCTCGTTACCTGCGGGGCGCTCAAAACCCCCCAGTTGCTGATGTTATCCGGCATTGGCCCCCAGGAGCACCTCGCCCGACACAACATCCCCACCATCGCCGATCTCCCCGTGGGAGAAAACTACCACGATAAGATCTCGGCGACCTTCTTCTGGAAGCTCCGCCACCCGGAGAACGGATACGCCCTCGGCTCCCCCCTCTTCAACAAGCCCGAGTTCCGCCACGGCAACCCGATCGAATGGGTAGCCACCGTTCCCACCCCGCACGCAGAGCTCCTCCAGGCCGCCCAACAAGACCAGCTCGACCCGGAAGACCCCTACCTCCAGGAACCCCGCGGCAATGTCGAAGTGATGGTCGCCTACGCCGCCATGGCCGGAGGGGGTTCACAATTCCGCGTCCCCATGGACGGCAACCACATCAGCAGCCCCGTGGTGCTGCTTCTCCCCACCAGTCGCGGCCGGATCACGCTCGCGAGTACCGATCCCACAGCGGATCCGGTCCTGGACCCGCACTATCTTGACACAGAGACGGATCGTGCCGCAATCCGGGCGGGGATGCGCGTCGCCTTGCGCGTGATGGAAACCGAGTCGGCCCAAGCGGTGGTCGGGGGCGAGACCCCGCCGCCGGGCCATGCGCCCCTCACGAGTGCCTGCAGTGATGCGGACCTCGACCGACGGGTGCAGATCGTGGGGAGTAGCTTTTTTCAGAATGGTGGGACGGCGGCCATGGGGACGGTGGTGGATACGCAGTGTCGCGTGAAGGGGGTGCGGAATCTCCGCGTGTGCGATGCCAGTGTGCTGCCGGTGCCCCTGGCCGGGCATTACCAGGCACCGATGTATGCGTTTGGTGAGGCCGTGGCGGAGATGCTGCTTGCATAGATCTTGTATTCGATACATCACTTAGCAGCCAATTTGACTGTAGCGTTGAAGAGAGAAATTAATCAGATCACATAAAAGATTTTTACATTCCGACTGTACGTAATCCCTTACACACTGGTAATTATGCCTAGTACAAGCAAGACAGAACTCCTACCAACATCGCAACACACCTGTCCAGAAAGCCTGCACCATAAACCCAGCGATTCTCACACATTCAATCCCATTAAGACACCCGTCAGCACTAGATACCTCACCCGGTTCTGTTACACTTGCAGCGGTATACCGTGTACATCGAGGCCACAACAATACCAGCTATGTAAGCCGGAAGGGCGGGCAGTTTCGTGCATGGAGGACATGAGATAGGCCATCTCTCCGTTGTGTTGGGGCCATTGCCATATTATTCACTGGCTTCACTGCATTACAGTGGGGGGTAGAGGAAGAGCCTAATGTCCGAGTCTTGTTCGTCCGGCAGGGGGCGGAAATTAGATACATAGTACATAGTACGGAGTACTAGTACCTGGTAGTTTGGGGCGATTAGTGTAGTGTACCCCACGGGCTATGCAGGCGGGCTAGATACAGCAGCCCTAGACGAGGCCAGGCAGATCGTTGTCCAGGCCGATGTGTCCACCTTTGATCCGGGATCATCGATGGGATGAGCGCGGCAGTTGGTGGCGATTCGTGGTATGTTGAACAAGGGTGGGTTTGAAAACAAAGCAGGAAGGCCAGGTAGCTTTGCCCTGGTGGTGGTGATGGTTGTTCTCGCTGTCGCCCCATAGCGAGGGAAAGCTTGCTTTTGTGCCCGCCCAGTCTTGTTCAAGGTCGCGTGCGGCGATAACCATTGCTGTTAGGCATACAAAGCAGGGTTGGATGACTTGAGCAACGTGACCTATTTGTGCCAAGTGAAATTGTCACAGGTACTGCTGGTCGCGGTACCTGACATACTTATTGTTGATGTAGATGGTGTGGCAGACTTGAGGTTGTGAGGATTGCTCTTCTTGAGAATTAGATGGAGTAATTGACAAACAAGATATAAGACTATCCACAATAGGATACATGTAAGGGAAAGTATAGACATTTTATTTCAGCCTCGTACCCAGCCTATGTTCCCTTATCTTTGAGATCATATTGACCTCTCCATCAAGGACAATGAGACGTCTTTCCCGATTCATGTCGAGTATATGCCAGGCTTTCTCTGGCACTGACGATCGGATGGCATCCAAACTTAGTTGGAGAGATACTCGATCCTCTTGACTGAGAGCTGCGGCGTAGATTCCTACCGGGCAAGATCCGAGAATGGGGGATTTAGGCATTCCCCGAAAGCTAGCCAAGAGAATGACTGTCCTATTGCCGATAAGATAGGCCATAGAACAGATAGACGTACAGTATTTTAGTTCATGTCATGAAAGCTCTATAATGAGCTTTTGTGTCGTCAGTCTTGGAGGGGGTAATGAGGGGTAAGAAAACTGTTTGGAGCCTAACAGGTGAATATTACGTCGCGTTACACGCGACCAGAAGGCAAGCACACTGCAATGCAAACCAGGCAAGCCCCCAGACAGGCAGTACCTGGGTTGCCAATAATGAATCGGATATAAAGAGGATAGCCTGCCAACCTTTCGCGGCTCACCCCCTTGAATTCCGCTTCATCAGGCCCAAACAGAGCACTTCCCCCCGCCCTTCCATCTCTCTATTCAGACCACCACCATGTGTGATACTAGCGAAATCCGCGAGAAAGTTTTCGAAAAGTCTGAGGCACATCGACCTGTAATCAAAGTACATACAGAACAACTAGATTCTCATGATTATCGTGTCTCAGCAAGCAATTTCATCAACGAGATATTTCCGAACTGGGAGGATGATCGTCGGATTCGTTCCATCGCCATTGAAATAAGAGGTGATCGCACATTTCTGGCTATCGATGTGAACAATCTCGATTATGACTTCGAAGCAGCACACGAACCAAGACTGTTCTCCCGGTCTATGTTGTTTGGCGACATAAACGAAAGGGATGGTATATCATAAGATGGCCCCAGGAAGATGGGCCTCTGGCTACGAAGATCGCTGAACTTCATGACCTCAATGGTTTCGATACCACAACACCTTTTCTTGCAAATTTCAATGAGCCGGTTGTATATGGCAACCCGCGTTACATCTCGATCAATCGCCAGCATCTACAGGCTACCCCTCCGTCAGATGAACGCGTTTCATTGAATTGACCGGTTGTAGCCGCCATCGTCCTTGATATAGGGGATAAGGAGATGTCCGGAACCAACAGCAGAAGGGACAGACCAAGGATCCCAGCGAGCGCACGACTTCGAGAGAGGGAGGGGGCATGAAGCAGAGAGTAACATAGAGAGACCGATGTGTACGTGAAGATGAGAGAGACCATAAGATGTATTTTCGCCTTTCGACGGGCTAATAAAAATTGATGGGGGGACTCCTGAAAGTAGCAGTCAGGGTGGGTTTTATTATGCCTAATCGATTTATAGCATACCTTGATAGAAAGGCTTTGGTGCTGGATAAGTCACTTAGCACCTTCTACCTATCTATAATAGCGAAGAATTCCAATAAAAGTAGTCTAGGCTATAAGCAAAGATGAGGGATGAGAAGGGCAAACCCATGCTCCTCTTTTACAAGCCTAGGGCTGGGCCCACCCGGCTCGACTAAGCCTGGACGATCACTTGAAGTACACCTTATCGGTGTTGCTACTAGCGCCGGCGTTGCAGGAACAATTCGGACAGCAGTATGAACTTTGCAGACTTTTCTATGTAGCAGGCATACTCCCATTGTAATTCTTGCCATAACGCGGGCAAGTCCTAACTTTCGTTTCAGCATGTGTCGTTCAAACAAGCTTTCCCATCGATTGTATCAGCGACATCCTATGTTGGAACATGGAAACGCTAGCGACCAGGCAAATTTGAGGCTTAAAAGGAAGTAAACAAAGCCTGGAGGTGGTCACGTAATACTGTTATGCATCCTTGCCTACTAGGGAGTAGGTGCTCCCACACCCCACAGTGACTGTGCTTCTCGCGGTGAAATCCGTGCACTTTGAAACCCCACTTCCAATCTCGCGTTCCTGTCGTATTTACACCCCCATGTTATTTTGGATAGAAATATCGCTAATATGGTAGACGTTGTCTGTTGGAACGGCTCTACTAGCTAGAAGCAAGAGGCAGAGTAAAAATTTGTTGTTCAATTCTATCTAGGCGCTCGCAGCGAGGCGCGCGGGGGTCACAGCTCAGCGAAAATAGTACTATTATTATATTACTTTGTTTAGATCTGACTATTCTTAATTAGAAAAATATTGTTTTTTTATAATTTAATATAAATTTATTATTTTTGACAGCAATAATCTATTCAGGAAATTATTTCGAAAGACCTAAATCATTAGAATATAAGATATAAATATTATATACATAGATATTATCTCTTATCTGGATACCATACACTCGATCCCTCGTAACCATGACCAACAATAATAGTCTATCTTCTTCGTTACTTTCCAACTGAATAAAAACAGATAAACCAAGCCTCTATAAACTACCATGCCATGAATGTCCTGGATTCCCTCACTCACTACGTGCGTATCATAATAATGGATTGAGGAACCGGATGAAGTAAAGCCAACGCTAAATATTGAAGTTTAATATACTAAAGCACATACAGAGACAATTGTAAAGGATGATACTACCAGTGGGGAACGGTGGTGGTGAGGTCCTACTATTCCATAGGATATCATCTATATACTATGTAGGTTTTTAGTTCAATGTTAATGGATAATCATATAATGGATGGATGTGGATTGTCAGTAAGCATAGCATAGCATATCAAGTAATACTAGTTAGTAGTGATGAGGCAAGGAGAAAGGCAACATCGTCAGCATCAGGCACCCGAATCACAAACACAGGCATCTGGAAGGGAAACTAAAGTTGGTTGGTTATATGGAGACAATCAAGGGAAAGGAAAGAAACTTTTCTAACGAGATTTTGTCTAGGAAAAACGCAAGCATCGCCAGCAACACACCGATCCAGTGTAGATGCAATGCACGAAACGTGGAAAAGAAAGCAACATGACTAGTAGTAAGGTACTAAACTCTCTCGCATCACATAAGCAAAGGTCGTGGCTAGCCTGCAAGTCCCGCCCCGGGTGGACGCTGGTATCAATGACAACGTCGTCGGAGAGGAGAAACCGTCAAAGCTCTCCGGGTATTGAAAAATGCAAGAAAAACAGACAAACAATACATGGAACATGGCGATGATGGAATGAAGGTCAATAAACATCCCTGCGAACCAACCGATCTCGCTAGATTCAAGAACCCCCCCGCCGTCATGGGTCGTAGCATCAGAATTGTACAAGAGAATGTCGGAAGTCCCCTCTATTTCCACGGGAATAATATGAGCGGCCGATCTTTTTTGGTTTTCGCCGAAACCATGGACGAGAAGATTAGGGAGGAATGTTCATTTCAAATCACATGACGGACATGTCGTGACTAGGTGTCAAAAAGAAGTGAGAAGAAAATCTTTCCAGAAGAACGGAATCATTTTTCATTATCATTGCGACAGAATCTATGATGCTTCCTCACCGTCCTTCGACGGGGTCTTGGAGGGTCGGCGCTCGACCGCCGGTTGCGACTTGGTCAGCAGAGGGGAGGTCGGGTTGGATGGAGGAGAAGTGGCCATGTTGTCACGGTCTTCCAAGCTTGCCAGAGCACTGAAGGCATTGATCGAGGACGCGGCCTCCTTGTCTTCCTTCTTGCCGGTGGGAGTGCCAGTCCGGCTGCTAGCAGCGCTGTCATCGCTGCCACGAACCAAGTTGCCGCCAGGGCCAAGGTTCTTCCGTCCGCTGTTGCTGCGGGAGCCCAGCATGCTGGACGGTCCGAAAGACATCGGCTGGTTGGTGTTACGGGTCGTCCGGAGGCGACGGAGATCGTCACTTCCAACCTTGCTGGAGGCGAAGTCTTGCGGGGGGGCCTGGTTTCCGTATCCGCTGTAGCTGCGTGCGTCACCCCGACCCATGGTGGGGCGGCTACCACGGTTGGCCTGCTGGCGAAGACGCTCCATCTCGGCTTCCTGCTGGGCACGAGCGGCCTGTAGAGGTCAATAAGGGCGTGACAAATCAATGGGAGTTCAAGCGATATACCTCTTCGCGAATCTGTTGGATCGTCTTAGGACCCTTGTCGGAATCCTTCGAAACCCAGCGAGCGCTACGCAGGTCGATAATGTCCTAAAGCAAGTCAGTAAACCACGGAACGGTGCATCACCGGGGAGTCGAATCTTACCATGAGCATGAACCGCAACCGACTGGGCAGGCCAGGGGTCTGGACCATGAGATTGATCCGCTGGAAGTAAGCGTCCATCATGGCGTGGCCCCTCTCCGATGCGTCGAGGCTGGCACCAATGGTGCGCAGAAGGCTGGTCAAACTCTCAACCTCGGCCTCATCGGGCATACCCTCGTAGTCGACAAGCTTCTTGACACACTCGTGCATAATACGCTCCGTCAACATACCCAACTTGTACAGCTCACCAATGAACTTGACAAGACCAAGACCACGACGCTTGGCGGCGGCAGCCTTGTAGTACTCGTCAGACATCATGGCGGCCTCCTCGGTCTCACCCTCCGGCTTAGGAGGCAGGTTGACCTTCCAACCGCGCTCGAACTCTTCCTGGCAACGGTTGAGAAGGTACTTGCGGAACAAGCTACCACCAGCGACAACGTTGCCGTTCTTATCGTGGATGTTCTCATCCTTGATCTCAGCGCTCATGCTCTCGAGCATGCGCTTACAGAACTTGGCATAGATGGAAGCCCAGTGGGCCTCGTCGGTGGCCTTCTCGAAGGTGAGCTGGATGACCTGGCGCAGGGTACGTCCATCAGACTCGTCCTTGGACTGAGAAACAATCTCCAGAAGCTGACCGGCGATACGATCAAAGTTCTCGGGGGTCATCTTGTTCAAGGCAGACTTGACCTTACGCTGCACCATATCCGGGGGCATGTGAGTAGAACCGGCGGGAGTAGGGCCGGCAGCAGGTTGGTTCAGGCTGCGAGGCTTCCAACCAGTGCTAGACGTCTGGATAGGCTTGATATCAAGTCCAGCAGTAAGAGGCATGGCCTTGGCCATCTCCTCCTCCTTCTTGGCTTGCTGCTTATCACGCTTGCTGCCGGTACGAGTACCGGCGCGGTTGGATCCAACACGCGGGGACGAGGGCATACCGGCGTGCATAGCGCTAGCGGAGTTGGTGCGGCTGATACCATGAGCACCCATACCCATACCGGGACGACCAAAGTTGCCAAACGGATTGCCCATGGAAGAAGTCCGGGCAGCGTTCGACATGGCGAAGCGCTCGGCGGAAGTGGTGCCGGCAGGCAAGCTGTTGCGGTTGGCAGGCTGGCCGAAGCTACCCATCTGGAAGCCCTGGGTGACACCACCGGATCGCGAAGGGTTGCGGCCACCCATCATGGGCGTCCGGGCCGACTGGGGACGAGAGGAGTCGCTGTCACCGACGGTCTCACGCACACGCGCATCCCAGTCGATGGAGGGCTTCTCCTTGAAAACGCTCTGAAACTGCAGCAAGAACTCCTTGTTGTAGTGGAACTTGCGGTCAGCGGGGGCGCTGGCATTCAGAGCAGGGTTAGGGGACACAATGGACGAAGGATAAGCGATCTTGCTCAGGTCCTCGACAAACCGAGCCGAGTGAAGCGCCTTCATAGCCGCGCTGGGCTGAGGAGGCTCGACAGCCTTGGTGGTCTCCAACTTGAGAGCGGCCGGCTTGTCGCGCTTCGTAGCGCTGGCAGGCTTGGAAGGAGGTCCCATGGAAAGGTCAGAAGCGGGCGTGGCCGTGCCGCTGTCTCCAGGAGTGCTGGTTTCGGTGGCACCAAACCCTCCCTTCTTGAGAGAGGCGAAGAGCTCCTTGCTCTTGGAGTCGTCCTCGACGACACCAGCTTGACGCTTCTTCTCACGGGCCTCTTCCAGCGCCTCTGCCTCACGCTCGGCAGCCTTCATGTTGGCCTCATAGGCCTCGAGCTCCTCCTTCTCCTTGCGCTCCTTCTCCTCCTTTTCAGCCTTCTTCTTGGCATAGTATGCTTCCTCCGCGGCACGCTCCTTGGCCTCGAGCTCGGCCATTTCGCGCTCGATGGCGTCGTAGTCGATATCGTCATCATCATCGGCAGGAGGCGGGGCAGCTTCAGGCTTGGAAGGCTCCTCAGCCTTGGCGTCAGCCGGCTTGTCCTTCAAGCTCAAGTCCTCGAGGGCCTTGCGCGCCGCTTCTTCGTCGGCGGCCTTCTTCTGGGCGGCCTCCTCTTCCTCCTTCTTCTTCTGGGCGGCTTCCTCTTCGGCCTTCTTCCGCGCGGCCTCCTCTTCTTCCTTCTTACGGGCAGCAGCCGCCTGCTCTTCCTCGGCCTTACGACGCTGCTCCGCCTCCTCCTCGATCTTCTGGCGCACCGCATCTCTCAGCTCCTTCTTCTTCTCCTCATCCGTCTTAGTGGACTTGGAATCCGTGCGGGTGTGGTCAGCGCTGCTGCCGGTGCGGGGAGGAGGAGTGGAGGTCGGGGTGGCGATCTTGACAGGAGAAGGAGTGACACGGGCAGGAGAGGCCGGGGCCTTCTCAAACGTCTTCACGGCGCCACTGCCAGGATCCTTGATGACAATAGCGCTCTTCTTAGTCGGGAGGACGAAGGGGGTCTTCGGGGCTGGGCTGTTCGACGAACGGCTAGCGTTGTGGGCATGAGCGGGACCGGGAGGACCAGCAGGGGGCTGGCCTTGACCCAAGCTCGACCCAGGCCGGTCGTTCGAAACCTGGGATGGGCTACGAGACAAGCCTGTCGCCTGCGCGGGGGGCTGCACCGAGTACTGGTTCGGCATGTACGGGGCGGCCTGACCGGTGAACGGAATGCTCGGGCGGTTTGAGGGTGACGGGGGGATGAACTGCTGAACTGCTGCCATGTTGTAGCCGGGGTAGTAGCCGTAGGCGGCGGGGTCGTAGCCGGGGTACGCCTGATTGTTTTTCATCAGTGTTAGATAGCGTTCGAAATGCCCACTTTCGGGTGCCAGGTTCGGGGGAGGAAGGGAGAATGGGGAAGCAAAAGCAAGAGAAGAACGGGGGGTGGGAAGGGAACGGGGTGTTCCTCTTTTCCGATGGAAGGCACCACGCCGGGGCTTCTGAAAGGGATGGGATCTCACAGGTTGGGGGGCCATCGGTTGGCCATAATAGGGCTGCGGTGGCATCTGAGGGTGGGCCATTGGGACCTGGTTCATCTGAGGAGTGGTGGGGTGCGCGTTGGCCAGCGCCGGACTGCGACTCGCTTGGTGCGGAGAGTTCGGGAAAGGTGCCAACGGGCGTCCCTGGTTAGGGGCATGGAACTGGGTCGTCATGCTGGGACCACCACGGGGTTGGCTGGGTGTCGAACGGAAGCTGGGACCCGGCGAGTAGGGCATCTGTCCCTGATAGCTCGACTGCGAATATCCACGTCCACGGCCGCCCTGATGGGCATAACCGCCGCGGCCGGCGGGACCGCTGGCCATATGGTTGCTCATATCGCTGTGGGTCGACTGGGACGATTCGCGGCGCAGATGGGTCGACTGAGCGCCGGGACCAAGGGGTGCCTGAGCCGGGCGCATCTGCTGCTAGCGCATAATCATCAGTACCGAGATTTCACGGGGCGGGAATGCGGTGGAATGCCAAGACAAAGTGATGTGGCCCCTCCCCAAATTGCCTTCATTCTCAGCCCGAAAAAAAAACATCTAGTTCATGTTTTGGCCCATCGCTGAATTCGCATAGAAGGGAGGCCGATCGAACAGAAGCAAAGAGGGAGAAAAAAAGATAAGGGAAGCACGTACATTATCACCATCACCAAAGCTACCGAAGTTCGGCACGTTGCCCTGAGACTGATACGACGACGGCGGTGGCCGGCCACCGCTCGAGGCGGGCTGAGGGATAGGAGAAGGAGACGTCTGTGGCGAGGTCACACGAGGGTTCATGGGCGGAGTGACACCCAGACCGGACTGAGGCTGGTTAGCCAAGACAGCGGGATTACCCATGTTGGGAGACGACTGCTGGTTGGCAAAGCCGAACTGCAGGCTGTTCGGACGACCGGTCTGGCCACCGTTGGGGATGTAGCCCGAGGTGCCGGCGGAGGTGATGGTCACGGACGGCTTTCTGGTGTGGTCGCCCTGAGAAGGGGCCGGGGCGCCATTGACGATGGTGACGCCGGGGGTGGGGGATTGCTGCATGGGTTTGCCGCTCACAGGAGATGCTGTAGTCGACTTCCCATGTTGCGACGGGCCGCCCACGGTGACGGGAGCGGCGGTCGAGTCCGTCGCGGACTTTTTGGTGGCGTTAGCGTAAGAGCGAGGAGCCGTCGTCGAGGCAGACGAGGGCGTGGGAACCGGCGCCTGGGGCGAAGATTTCCCAGCAGAGGTGGAGTGTGCGGAGGAGGCGGCCTGGGTCGAGGTGCTCTGTCCTTGAGGTTGAAGGCCTGACTTGGGAGGGATCGAGCTCATTAGACAGGTGATACGCGGAGAAGGTTCAAGCGCTGGAAGTTTTGTTTTGAGAGGATGGAGGAGAGGACGATGGAGTCAGGAAGTCTGTTCAATGGAAGATGCTGTTAGGAGGCGTAAAGCTTTGAGAGGGGAAGGGTGATGTCAAGGGTATGTTACCGCAGTCTGAGGAACACGCTCTAGAACCGCACATCCAAAGATTCCCACACGAAACGGGAAAGGAATCGGAAGAGGGGGGATTGTCGTCAGGATAGACGAGATGGGGAGGAAGGGGGGGGAGGAAGAAAAAGGAAGACCACAGGACAAGAAATATATCACGTCGTGGTCAACGACGATGGGTCTGGGGTAGAAAAGAGGAAAGGGGAGAAAAGGAAAAGAGGGGGGAGAAAGCGAGAAGTTGGAGGGAAAAGGATTTCGGTTCCCTATTTTTTCCTTTTGGTGTTTGGCCGGTAAAAGTTGGTGGTGGTGGTGCTCTCTCTTTTTTTTTTTCTTTTCTTTTTTTTTTTTTTGTTAATTACCGTTTGGGTTTAGGCGTAAGTACACCCGCCAGACCAAACGGGTAAGCAACCGCCCAGTCAGTGCAAGTGCACGGAACAACACCCAACCAGCAATGGAAGCGGTGGCTGGACCACGTCAATAATTTCAGGTTGACCAGTGAAAGGATGCGAATAATGACATGACGGTGAATCACCCCATTGTGTTGACTCAGACTGACTGCGCCTTCTGATTTCTTATTGTTGTTTGATGGACTGGCACAGTACTCTACCTCTCGACACGGAATCTCCGCCCATCGGGTCAAGGCGGCGAAGGCCCTTCCTTGAGCCAAGGATGTCACTACTAGGTCCGGGCTGGTATTATTGGTAATCTACTTACCACTTACATTACCACTTACCTTTCCATGACGCTCGGGCTTGGCCTGGCGGTTCCTACCAGGAACTAGTCCGTCGTAGTATTGTTCGTGGCAATCCGGTCAAGCGCCTACCAGACCATAGTAGTAACAGTGATTAGAAGGTCGGGGCACGCACGGCGGTTACTGCTGCCTGTCTTCGGTGCTTTGCTCCGGCCATGATCCTCAGAGCAATCACCATGACGCTGTATGCTATCATGGAATCTTAATAGATTCGACACCTCAGGCCAGAGAGGTAGGTCTGTTTGCCACACAAAGAAGGAGCTTACTGAGAATACCGTATGATACCGTCATGGGCATCACCCGCAGCACCACACCTTCCTTAGATCCTACGGGTCTTGCCTCTACCGCCAACCATTTGTGTTACTCGAGACGACTCTTCAGCTGATGGTGCCTATTATTCACTGGCTATTTCCACATAATCAGAACGTGAACAAGGGCGTAAGGGTGTTTGAAAAAAAGAAAAATAAAGTAAGGGAAATAATAATAAAAAAGACAGAGACAGCAAGAGGATATATCACGAAACGGAAACCGAGCTCTCGTCTCTGTGCCTCCCACGCCCGAGCACCCAACCATTGCACCCGATCGCCCGGTCAACAATCATCGTCACCCACTCCCACTCCCACGTTAATCCCGATTCCCAGCATTCCAACGAGATACCGACATGCATCCTCCTTCCAGCTCCCACCTACCACATAAGCAGACCAGTAGATCCCTATCGATAGCAGACACCGCAGGTTTATTTATAGAAATGGTTTCGGTTTTGTGCGATCTCGCCTGGGTGGTGAGGACTCGCATGCCTGACATCGGCCGGCCGACTAACTATTAATTTTCCTTCCTTGATTGGGCCGACGCTATTGATCGGTCTGCAGTTCAGCATGGGCTCCCGAGCAGAGGACCCGTAGACACAGACACTCTGGCTTACAGTTGCAAATTCTCCCTGCCTTGCTTGAGGCTGGCCCGATCCATTCCTCATTCCTTATCATTCTTCTCCGGGTCGTTTTTCTCGTCTTCTCCAGAAGCCTCCCGCCATGCTTGATACCCGCCAGCGGACAGAACCAGACCCCGAATCGTGTTATACACCGTAGACGCTCCATAGCCATTCATTGCCGCGCTCTGAAGATACGCGCGCAGACCTCGGGCGGCCGGATTGCCCCCGTAGGTCTGCGACCATGCCGCAATAGAGCCTATCAAGTAGCGGGTCAGCCATCAATCGCATTGAAATGCACGCGGTAGGATGGATTTTCCAGGGAATCGCTTAACATACGGGCATAAGGCCCCAACGGTCCATACCCCACCACCCGTAAGATACCCACCGGGTAGAAGAACGTCACGACGCTAAACGCAGACTGGACCGGATGTTTCACGACGTAGTCTTTCGTGGCATTTCCCGCCTGAGATGCAAGTCGGACGATTTGCGGCTTGTGGGCGTCCACGAGGCGGGCGGTTCGGTTGGTGAGTTGACTCAGATTCAGGCTCGTCGAGTCGGGGGCGAGATGCGCAGCCAGTTGCTGCAGTCGTTCGGTCGCCTGGGTGTATGCAGAGCCCATGATACCGGTCATGGCCGCAGAGGTTAGTGCTAGGAGGTGCACCAGGACAAACAGAACCGCAGCAAGTCGCATTCTGGCGATGGCGGCGTTGTTGGGAATGCTGGGGCGTGGAGAGGGGGCTATTAGTATCCCGGTGGGAGACAAGGCTGTTGTGCTTGTAGGCCTTGCGGCGGCCTATGCGTCTGTGATGCGGTGGCGGTGACAAGGGAAACATGCAGAGGGGCTGCGGCAAGGCGCATTCATTTCACATATCTACTTCCAGCGCTATCTTGATGCCACGGGCGTAGCGCTTCTACATATTTAAGGCGGCTATTTGCCGCTGGCCTTCACGATCGAGAGATCCTCTCCTATCATTCTACATTTTGTTGGATGATCAGGAATACTAGTCTCATGCAAGAGAGCTATCAGCTGAATCTATTCAATGCGTCCGGTTCCGCGGGCCCTCATGCCCATGGTCTACTCCCGAGGATCCAGCATCCTCCCCACTTCCAAACCATCCGGAGGCCCAGTTGCCGCTGCTCGTCCGGCGGTGCGCGTCTGACGAGCGCTCCTGGGTATCCTCATGTTCCACATGAGTGAAGGAGTTCTCGCTGCGGTTCTTTCGCAGCGGTGGGCCGTACGCCAGGTCATCTTCCGTCCCTGCGCTGTGCAGGTCGCGTTCCTCCTTAGCCAGTGCGCTGCGCAGCACTTCCAGTAGGTCCCGCTGTTTCGAGATAAACTTGACCTTATCCGCACGGGACATGGACGCTACCTCCCGAGGCAGCAACGTTCCACTAGCAGACAGCTCTTCGCCGCGTGCTTCAGGGCTCTGGCCAGAGGACGCAACAGACGCCACCACAGAGCTGATGGTGGAGAGCCAGTCGTTGCTCGCGGCTGGTGTAGTTCCGCCGGTGGCGGTGGGCAGATTGAACCGTGAAAGGAGCGACTGCGCGTAGGCAGCCGGGCCGGTCGGTGGCGGAGGCGGAGGCGGCGGACGTTGGGCCGGCAAGCCCAGAATGTTTTCCCGAATATAATCCAGGGCTTGGTAGAAGTACTGAAGACCAAGGGCCTTGGCACGCTCGTGGGTCTTGCCAATGAATTCCTCAATCTCACGCTCATGATGCTCCAGGAACGGGTCGACGTATTCTAGGTATAGACTCCGGGCTCCCTGCGTCTGGGGGAGGACAAGATAGGAGAAGAAAAAGAGGCGGATCCAGCTATAGAACGGGAACCTGTGGCAACTTCTTAGCAGGAGATCCTACGGGACCGGACATTGTCTTGCGGCCATACCATCCCAGAATAAAAATCGTCCACGACTCAGCCATGAGCACGGCCGATAGAACGACCCAGTACATAAGCCATGGTGCCAGTTGGGAAGAATCGGCAGAGCGGAGGGCTTTATAAGAGGCAAAGATGGGAAGTAGGATCGTGATGATCGAACTACGTGCATGCGACTGTTAGCATATTGAGCAGAAAAGTGCCAGGTACAATCGATGGGTCAGGCTTTCCGGGGTCGTCCGGGTAGATAGCCAGAAGTACTTACGACAGAAGATCAGCAATTACACCAAACATGCTGGGCAATTGTACACTCCGGGTCGGTCACCGTGCTGCGAAGTCCCTCGGAGGAGAATATGGAAGGAGGGGGTTGGATTCAGTATCAGTAAGCTGAAGAGCTGGACTGCGGGGCAAAAGCTTCACGCGACCAGCGGACCGGCACAAAGGAGAGCGGCCAGCCGCAATGATGTTAACTAACGAGAGCTTTTGCGGATTGCCTTGAAGATTTAATGGAAAGGAGGTGAGATTCAGGAGAAATGAAAAAAAAAAAAAAAAAAAGGATAGTGAAACCTGAGAAGGACGGAGCGTGGCTGCCTTGAAGAACTGGGGCGGCCAGTTGATCCATCGAGCCCTACTGGGCATAGTGCTACCTTCCCAAGTAGGCAAGTATCAGAGGGGATGCCTGAACTCAGCCGCATAGCTCAGGCATACTAGTCCCACTAAGGCAGCCTGCACACCTTGCCGCTTTCAGCAACGCCGCGGCTCTGACGTCATGGCTTCGGCGGCATGCAAGTCAAAGAATGAATGGGCTCGGGCCCATTCATCTTTCAAAGGACTCTGCACATTATTCGTCCTGGTGTTGTTGGGATATATGGGCCAAGCAATTATTGGCTACCGAGAGAAGCAAAGTAATTGCCTGGCTAGGCCTATTCCGGCGAAATTTACCAGGTCGATCCAGTATCCAGCACTATGACTGAATATATATATTTGAACCGAAGAGATTCTGGTCCCTATTGGCTAGGAAGCCCCAGTTTGGGAACTGGTAAGGGTCTGATCCTGCATCAGATGAGCCTCAGTTCCCAGCCAGTGACAGCGTTCCGTGAATGAAAATCAAAGTAAATCTCACTCCATGACTTACTTTGGGCATTAATCATACCTCTGGCAATTAAGATGTTTGAAGCAGATATGCTTAGCTCCAACATTATTCTAACTTACTGAGATCCTCGACTTCGGGATAACACACACTGCCTTCATCCCTTCTGAAGGAAGTCCTCATCTCATTCTGTCACGTGCACAGTTTGATCCCAGGATTATCTATTATAAATTATGGTTCCATGTCCCTCCGACAGTCCTGGTTCAAAGCCCTCCCCAGTCTACCAAGGTTCTGACTGGGCCTGTGATGATTGGTGAGAAGATTACCAAGTTGCCTATTGAAACTTTGGGGATCATGGGCTGGAACACAATGGCACAGCATGACCAGCTATCATCGCTTTTAAGTTTACTACTTTTCTTTTCAGACATAACAAGTATAGAACTATGTTGCCGAGGTCGATGATGCCGCGTTTCCGGTCTTCCTTGTAATGCCATCGACTCGAGCAATCCGGGATATTTACGGAGTACTCTGGAGAGGCTATTGCGATATCCAACGCTTGAAAGGGGATGCTTAGGGACGTACAGAATGGAATAGATGAAGAAGGAGATAGACAGATGTTCCTGGGGTATATTTAGTTGTCCGCCTCCATTCACCAATGGAGTTGCTTGAATCCACAAGCCTTCAAGAATAACATATTAGTATCAAGGACTACTTGGTCTCCTTGTAGAATTCTCAAGTCCATATTATGTATTTAGTACCTTCGTGGGGACCTTGAAGAAACTCCAAGGTTATCCTTTGGCACGATCACCGCAAATCTAACTGGGCTGATCTGTACATACCAGCAGTGCTTGAAATATATATAGTGGTGCCACTATGAACCATACCGTATGCCCCTCTACAAAACCTTCAAGACAAGTGATTTAGTTAATACAAAGCATCCTCCGAGCATCTCTCTAAGCAACTCTCTAAGCAGGTCGTAGCGCTACATGTGTGGCCTCAAGGCACATACCGAGGGTTGATTGAGAACCTCAGGCATAGGTGAGGCCCCAAGGCTACCAAAGCGGTGGAAATCCTACTTGCACTAAACCTGAGCCTTGCCTAAAGGAGCAGGCGGAATATTAGGCTGGGGTAGCATGAGCATGGAGCCCCTTGAAAATACCATCCGACATCGCATGATGAGATTGGAGAGACAAGGTACTATATGATAATGGAATGCACAAAATATTGGCAGGCACACGGAATTCGATGAAATGCTGCAGTTGTTGTGCGGTGTGTTCAGTCCATCATAGCGTCGACAAGGCGGTGGAGCCAAACTGCCGGCCATGGTGTTGTCTGATGACCTCAGTGCCCAACAGTCGCCTTGTTTTCTCCAGAACATCCCTGTCCTACTATTCTGGCTGGACTGCTGACTGCTTATGACCCCGGCCGCTGTTTATCATCCGAGCTGAACTCTCCTAAAGACACTGCTGATTGTTCGCGATTACCCGCAGCCTGAAGGTGCCCGACTGTCTCACGAGACCATCCCCTCACCGGTGGCGGCAGCTTGACACGGAGCTCAAAGCTATTACGATCCCAGAACCTCCTCCACATTACCTCCTAATACTTCAGAAACACAACGATGTGTATCGCTTTATTATCGACAGCTCACCCGTCCTATTCCTTGATCATCATCGACAACAGGGATGTACGCGACAATGCTTTTCAGGCCACATTCCCCAAGCTCCCTCAAACTAACAGCATATAGGAATACCTCCGTCGACCGACCTCTCCTGCGGACTGGTGGCCTGCACCAGCGTCTAATATCATAGGTGGTCGAGATCTAGCGCGAGCGCCACATGGGACATGGATGGGAGTGACCAGGGAAGGAAAGGTGGCGGTCTTGACCAACTACCGCGAGAACACATCTGAGCAGGCTATTGGGGCGAAGAGTCGGGGTGCTATTGTGTGTAGCTGGCTTGACGCGCCTTCGGATCGGAAGCAATCAACCCGGGAATTTGTGCAGGACATGGTTGCGAGTCCCACCGCTAGAAATGTCGGGGGGTTCAGTCTACTGTGCGGATACCTTAACGAGCCCCTGGCAATTGTTTCCAACCGCTCTTCCACCATGGATCAAATTGCGTGGGTGGCTACGGAACATGGTCAGACGTTGGGTCTCAGCAACACCGTCTTCGATGATCGGTCGTGGCCCAAGATCCTTGACGGAGAGAGGCTGATGAATGAAGCCATTGCTGCACACGTGCAGGCCGAAGAGGACGAAGATGCACTTATCACCAGATTTCTCGATATGCTGAGCATTAACACGCTTCCAAAACTCTCCGAGGATGCCACCGCGGAGGATTATCTACCCCATTTCAGGAAGAGTATCTTCATTCCCGTGCTCGGTGCTCGGGAGAAGCCCGTCAAGCCGGCAGACACGGTAGTTCCGGTTTGCGTTGATAGCCACACGGCCAATGGCACTGCTGCCGAACAGCACCATGGAATGGACCTGTCGTTCCTGCATGGGGCGTATGGAACCCAAAAACAGACGGTACTTCTGGTAAGTGACGACGGCCGTGTGCGATACTTCGAACGCACCCTTTATGACGGCGATGCAAATCCGATCCCGATCGGTCAGGGGGATCGATCACTCGAGTTCCAAGTCGGCCAAGCCCGAGAATGATCCGGCGCGATCTCATGAATCTCCGGGGCATGTCTTGGTGTGCTCCATACATAGCAGTCCGAATCTCCGCTCACGGTCTTCTGGCGTGCCTCTAGTGACTGTGGCTATGTAAATATAATGACGTTCAATATAAAATAGTCCTAAAATAGCAATCCGAACTTATAGTTCCGGAGAAGTGAATTGCGACTATGGGGGGACTAGATGCCATAGAACTTGATAGAAGACATGGAGTGCCAATGCCTTACCCGCCGAAATTAACATGCCATATTCTATGGATCTCCTCCGTATTCGGGTGGAAGCCTCGGAGAAATACTTCTCAGGAGGCGATGGGCGTGGTGATTATTGATTGTAGCGGCCTCGGGGCTAAGCACGTGCGCTCAGGAGTCGCCGCGATGTTTTCCTCCCATCAAGCCATCGTTACCTTCGTACTTTGGCTTAACCACCCCCGCCCAATTTGCCCCCCTGCCATGGCCCTGCCATACCCCTGCATCGGCCACAGCAGGCAGAAGAGATCTCGCGGTAAGTAGCATGCCAGATTGACAGGTCAATTTGCTGAGCGACCGATGATGTCCACCGATGATGGTTCCAGTGGGTCGCCCAAATCCGTGTCTCACAGTTGGATAACGACGGGCCGGTCAGAAATTACCTCTTGAAGAACCACCTTGGCCCGGAGGACACCAAATGATCAATCAAGCTGCACGCCGATATGAATTAAAATAACGGTTTCTGGCCTCCCGGCCTATCGACCAGTTCCGTGCTCCGGCCGACCCGGAAAAATTTAATTAATCGTCGGACGCTCCACCAACGAACAGGATGCTTAGGATGCTAACTCGTTTCATCTTAATCAGATCGCCTGCACGTTGCATGGTATGGCCCCACGCCGCCGGGCAGGCAATTTGACCCGGAAGAAATGAAGGACGACGGCCTCGGGGCCAGTGCACCCCCCTCCCTCCGATAGGGTTGTCATGATGTGGGCGTTTGTGTTTCCAGTCGGCGGCTAAGCCTTTTGCTGTAACAGCCGTCTACTCGTTATCTCCACCGAACTTGCCAGCGGTCCACGAAGGCGTTCGGCAGATGTTGTGGTGAACACCGATGCTGGAGAACGAGTGTGCGAAAAAAGTCCCCCGTTCACCAGCGCTTCAACCGCTGCACTTGTGATTTTGGCCCGTGGCGTAATCCAGATATTAAGGGTCGCTAAGGGACCGCCACTAGCTTCCGCGCCGGTAGGTGCCCTGATTTCGGAGGATCGGGCGAGATGTTCTCGACTCCCTGGAGTCCACCCTAGTGGATGGAGCCCCTGGGGAGCCACAAGGCAACTGTCTCAGAGAAAGCCCCCGAAGCGTCTGCTGAGATTAAGCTGTGGGACCGTTGAAATGATAGTCACTTAGGGGAGGATTGCTTCTGCCCGAGCGATCGATTATAAGTATGGGGTGTCCGAGTCGTTCGTTGCTCCTGCTTGGCACATCAGATTCAAGACTGGCTCTTGACATTCATTACTTGTCTTCTATCGTTCACTTTCACTCCTTCCTTCCCACCTTTCGTCATTCATTCCTTTGATCGACCAGTTCGACGTCCATTCTTTTCAAAATGAGAATCAGCAACTTGATCGTCGCGGCCTCTGCCGCCGGCCTGGTGGCCGCTCTCCCCAAGCGCGAGATGAAGAAGCGTGACTCTGGCTTCAAGTGTACGTGATGTGATGGCTGTCTTGAACTTGGCCGTTCTCTCTAACAGCACTAGGGGTTGGTACCAGCGAGTCTGGTGCTGAGTTCGGCTCTGCCCTCCCCGGCACCCTGGGAACCGACTACACCTGGCCCGATACCTCCAAGATCGAGATCCTGAGAAACAAGGGCATGAACATCTTCCGTATCCCCTTCCTCATGGAGCGTCTGACCCCCAACGGTATCACCGGCTCTTTCGCTTCGACTTACCTGTCGGACCTGAAGTCGGTATGTTGCTGCCCGTGCTGGTGAAATGTGAAATCTTCCAAAGACTAATCCATGCAGACCGTTGAATACGTTACCAACAGCGGAGCCTACGCCGTCCTTGACCCCCACAACTACGGAAGATTGTACGTGCAAATCGCCTGACAGCGATACATGGCATAGCATGGCTAACAACCTGCAGTGATGGAAGCATCATCACCTCCACCTCCGACTTCCAGACCTGGTGGAAGAACGTTGCCACCGAGTTCGCCTCCAACGACAAGGTCATCTTCGACACCAGTATGTGCCACTTCCTGCCTCATTCCCGTGATTACTTCTAATAGAAACAGACAACGAGTACCACGACATGGAGCAGTCCCTTGTTCTGGACCTGAACCAGGCTGCCATCAACGGTATCCGTGCTGCTGGTGCCACCACTCAGTACATCTTCGTCGAGGGTAACGCCTACACCGGTGCCTGGGACTGGACTACCTACAACGATGACCTGTCCACTCTGACCGACACTGAGGACAAGATCATCTACGAGATGCACCAGTACCTCGACTCCGACAGCTCCGGTACCTCCGAGACCTGTGTGAGCTCCACGATCGGCCAGGAGCGTCTTGAGAAGGCCACCGCCTGGCTCAAGTCCAACAACAAGCAGGGTATCATCGGTGAATTCGCCGGTGGTGTCAACTCTGTTTGTGAGGAGGCTGTTGAGGGCATGCTCGAGTACATGTCCGAGAACTCCGACGTCTGGGTTGGTGCTTCCTGGTGGTCTGCCGGCCCCTGGTGGGGAACCTACATGTACAGTCTGGAGCCTACCGATGGTACCGCTTACTCGACCTACCTGCCCATCCTCGAGAAGTACTTCCCCAGCGGTGATGCTTCTTCCTCCAGCTCTGCCTCGGTCTCCGTTGCCGCTGCTACCTCCTCTGCCACCTCGGCTGCCACCTCGGCTGTTTCCACCACCGCCGCCGCTGCTATCACCACCACTCCCGCCGTTCAGGTTCACGAGGCCACCTCTTCCGCTCAGTCCAGCGCCACCAGCGTTTCCAGCTCGACCAGCGCCCGCAAGTCCAAGTCCGTTGGCCCTTGCAAGCTGTCCGGTGCCACCTCTAGCGCCGCCTCCAGCGCTGCCGATGCCACTACCTCTGCTGTTGCTGCCACCACCCCTGCTGCCGTTCCTACCACCGCTGTTGTCTCCACCAGCTCTGTTGTGGTCGCTACCACTGTTGCTGCTCCTACCACTGTTGCTATTGCCGCTACCACTCCCGCCGTTGCTCCCAGCAAGGTCTCGACCTTTGTTTCCAGCGCCTCCAGCGCTGTTGCTAGCAGCAGCGGTGTCGTTGGTGTCAGCGACCCCCAGGGTGCTGAGGCCACCAACTCTGCCGGTCTTGTGAAGCAGTACTACCAGTGCGGTGGTATCAACTGGACTGGTCCTACCGTCTGCGCGAGCCCCTACAAGTGCGTTGTCCAGAACGACTGGTACTACCAGTGTGTCGCTGAGTAAGGGGTTCCTGAAGTTGTCTAATTGTGCTATGGAGAGTGGGAGAAGCTGATTCACATTCGTGTATATACTATACTGATTTAAATAAAAGCGACCCGAGGTCCTGTGCTTTCACATGGCATGTCTGTAGACTTGATATTCATGATATTCCTGATATTCCTGACTGTTTCTCACCCACCCCCTATCCCGGCCCCACGCTCTAATCCCGAGAATGTAGCACGGCATTACGAAGCAATATACTCGGTGGATCCCGTCCAGGGCGATCGGCTGGTGGGGACTGAAACAGTGACTGAGACATATCCGACGACGATCAACGGCACGTCGGCACGGCCTAGTTCATGGCAGATGTGATAGGTTAAAGAAACTGCAGGATTCGCTTGAAAAGCCTGCAGTTTCAGAAGAGTCTCATGAGATATGCCTTTACTAATGGGGTTGACACGGGTTGCTGGTGGACATGTCCGTCTGCACGAAGATACACGTTTGCCGTGGTGTCTTCTCGGGGTTAAATGAATGACACTAATCTCTAGCAAGTGTATGCTAGTTTTACTATAGTATCTTGTCTTATCGATGGCAGGAAGAAAGGACGTTGGGAAGATCTGTCATGCTACTTTATGCCTGAGGCATAAGCTGACTCAGCAACGGTCGGCGGCTCGGGCGTTCACCAACGGCCGCCTCCATGATCCTGTGCCTCTCAACCATCTGAGGATTCCAGTCGCTGTATTGCCTCTTCATCAGATCAAAGCCTTGCATAGAATGTAGGCTCGCTATTTCTCGAGGCAATAAGCTCACAGCAGCAGAGAATCGATGGATCGCCCAGGTCGCTATAATGTCGAACGGTCCTGCCTGCGCTGCCACCAGCGCAAGGTCCGTTGCGATAAAGGCTCTCCATGTGGGTCATGCATACGAGCAAATACTTCCTGTCAGTATCCTGGTCCGAATCGTGTCAAGCGCCGGGCTTCAAAGGTATCTTACACTGATGTCATGGCCAAACTGGAATCGCTGGAGCGCTCAATCGCGGCTCTGTCCGGAAATCGAGCGCTGGCTCATGTCCATAGCGCAGCGGCAAATAGAATCCATACGCCTGGGCCCGTTGCGCAGAGCCCTTCCAGTGATGAATTTTCCACGACAGAAACAATCGATCAGCCTGCTCACGGCGGTCTCCTAGTCGAGGATGGCCGGTATATCAATGAACAACTTTTGTCTCGGGTCCTGGAAAATGAAAAGGAGCTTCAGTCTGCGATTGACACGCCGAGGAGTGATGCCAGTACCTTCAGGCGACCACCCGCTCTCAAAGTGGAAGGTCTCCTTCTCACTCGCTACCCAGATAAAACCGATCTTTTTACCTTGCATCCGCATCAGTGGCATGCGACACAGCTGTGGCAAACTTTCTTGAACCACATCGACCCGGTGATCAAGCTACTTCACGTTCCCTCGACGCAGCCTCGCATATTCGCGGCTATCAACCGGCCCCGGGACGCGCCCCCTGATCTGCTGGCCCTGCTTTACGCCATCTACTTTGCTGCCAGCACGAGCATGCTGGCTGAGGACCCAACGAATGAGAAGAAACTTCTAGAGGCCTGTCAATACCAGCGGGGACTGGAGATTGCTCTCTATCACTCTGACTTTATGGACTGCCCAACGCTGACATCCTTACAAGCGATGGCTATCTATCAGGTAAGCACTCGGTCCCTGTCCTAGGTGAAGCTGGATTTAAATTCACATCACGAGATTCTAGATGTGCGTGCGTTATTACAACCCAGGACGCTCTGGGTGGGTACTGCGAGGGCTGGTTATTCGGGCAGCACAGTCTATCGGACTCCACCGGGACGGAAAACAGTTCAAACTGACGCCACTGGAGTGTGAGCTACGCCGGCGACTGTGGTGGCACTTGTGCAGTGCTGACAGTCGCGCGGTGGAGGACCATGGGGTCGGGATGACTGGTAAAGGGGAATTCTGCGACACCGAATTCCCTGCAAATATCGACGACCAGCGCCTGCCTGCCAGCGCGACGGTGCCGCCAGAGTCCCAATCCTGTTGGACTGAGATGACCATGTCTCTGATCACGACCATAGCCAACCAAAAGCGGCTGGAGTTGCACAGTGCATTGACGGGGAATGCCCCTGGGAAGCGTCCCGCTGAAATCGTCCAGGAAGTGAAGGACCACATTTACAATGCCTACCTGCAACACGGCGACCCTAATATCCCCATCCAGCGGCACGGAATGCTGCTGGGGGAGATTCTAGTGGTCAAAATGGAAATGTACGTGCACCAAAGAGCACTTCAGGCCCAGAGTAGGACTACGCCAGTCGCCGAGCGCCTCGAACTGCAAGCCAAGGCCTTAGATGTCGCCTGCCAGGCGCTGGAACGGACGAACCAGTTGTTTACTGATGAGCTGCTGCGCGGGTATCGCTGGCTCACCTCAACGTACATGCCGTACTTCATCCTCACATACATCCTCTGGCACCTCTGTGTGTATCCGATAGGATTGCACATTGAGCGCGCATGGTTAGAAGTCAACCGGGTTTTTGAGATGACCAAGGATCCGTCGTGGCCCGATCCAGGGCCCAAGTGGGCGATCATCACTCGGCTGCGAGAGAAAGCATTGCAGATTCAACATACACAGGGGGATTCAGAGCAGGTGGCACAGCCAGAGTCTCCGCCAACCGGTGCGGAAGAAGCGGAGGCGCCGACAGAGTCATTTTTCGACTTTGTGAACTGGGATATGGGCATGATGGGGTTTCCAGATTGGACGGCGTTGGTGCAGAGTGTCGATCTAATCCCCTCGCCTGTAGCGAATTGCCAAATGTGAGCTTGCATGTATTTTATCATTCTAGATACGAGCTAATGATATCGTGCTAATGAAATGGATAAAGGTCTACAGAGTAAGGAATCATGAAAGATGACCAGTCAACACTTCACCCTCACTACCCATCCCGTCTGACGAATGCGCGTCATCAGGACCAGCACACTCCCTGCCAGCAAAAAGACGCCCGAATAGACCTTCATCCCAACGAACGAGCCATGGTCATGCTGCAGAATCGCGCCCGCTATGGGACTGGTGGTCAAACCTCCAATAGACGCAAACAAGAAGAGCACTCCAGTCCAGTAGCCAATCTCCCGAAGCGGCGCAATCTTCGCCACCAGCGCCGCCGACAAGGAGAAATAAGCACCGGAGGTAATGCCAAAGAGAATCCCAAAGACGATACTCCCAGCATCAGTCGTCGCGGGGATCCAAAGCGCGAGGACCAAAATCCCCGTGATCGTACACACCACCACGAAGATATTATACGGCCCAACTTGATCCGAGAACGCACCAGCCCCCATCCGACCAACCAGACTATCTCATCAGCATATACCTTCAAACCAGAACAAGAAAAAACTCACCCCCCAGCATTCAGCATCGCCAACAAATACTGCGCCAACGACTCCCCCATCCCATCCGCCAAAGCGGCCGTCTCCAAAAAATCCACGGGAATAAACACCCCAAAAGTCAACAACACAAACCCGGCCACCAAAACCCTCATCCTCCCATCCCGATACGGCCTCATCAACGCCTCCTTCTCCATCTGCTGCCTCACCGGCCCTGTCCTGCTCCGCACAGTCACACACGTCACCACCAACAAGCCCAGAATCACAAACGCCGCAATCCGCATCGCCCAGCCATACCCGACCCGCTCAATCAACCGACTCACCATGATCGGGAAGATAATGCCCCCGACACTCGACCCAGAGGCAACAATGCCATACGCCGCGCCGCGCTTTTTGTCGAACCAGCTAGGGATGGAACTCATGGAGGGTTGGAAGATTGCACAGAGGCCCATGGCACTGCAGACGCCTTGCGAGAGGAGAATTTGGTAGTATTCCGTGGAAATAGAGGCCATCATGAGTCCGAAGACATGGAGAATTGAGCCGGCGATGATGACGACCCGGGCGCCGAGCATGTCGCTTAGTGTTCCGACGATAGGGCCCTGCGGGTAGCATTACCCTCATCAATCACATGGATACACGAAAAAGGGAAAGGAGGGAGAGGGGGGATACCATGAAGAACATGAAAAATACTTCCAGGGATGGAATCCACGCGATGGTACTGGTCGAGTAGTCCTTTAACAAGGTTGTTTCGTAATACGTTTGAAATGTCCCGATGCCTGTATACATCCATTAGTACCTACCAACCACAACCATAACTACCCCCCCCCCCAAAATCCCCCAACCCAACAAAAAGAAAGAAAGTAAGGGGAGGGAAGAATACTATTAATCCACCCAAAACTACAAAACAAGGCACACCACGCGCCCAGCACGACGGACCAAGCAGCGAGGCCACCATCGGGGGGTGGATCCAATGCCCATGGCGATTGAGATGGAGTGTTTTTCTCGACGCCATTTGGGTCTGGTAGGCGGAGGGTTTGTTGAGATGTATCAATCTCATTGTCGTTGAATGAATGGTTGAGTGTATGAGTTCGGTCTTGGAGGGGGTAGATGTCTTCTTCTTTGGACATTTTGTTGATATATAGGGGTTCTTTTTCTGGGTAAAAGTACTCTGTATAGAAGGTCTGATTTTTGGGGAGAGAATGCAATGGATTTTATATTTGGATTTACATAGAGGGGGTGTGTCTTCTATCTTAACCCAGAGAGTGTGAGTAGGATAGGGTTCGCGGCGCGGACGTTGATGAATGGCCGCTCCGGTTCGGTGCTCGGGATGAGAGAGTGGCCTAGTGCTTATGCTCGGGGGTTTACTTTGAGTGCAGTGGTTTGGGGAGGGTTATGTAAATGTGTAGGAAATTGATGTGTATAATTGTTTTATGATTGGTATTGGTGGTTTTGGTGTTCGTTGTGAATGAGAGTGGTTGGATGGTGTGGTGGTATTGGTTCAGAACTTAGTGTGCTGGTTTTGTATGTACGTTATTTACTAGAAGAGAGATCATTTTTATTGGTATTGTTAATTTTTTTTTTTTTTTTTTTTTTTTTTTTTCTGAGACGAGGTACTTGGTATTGAATGTCAGGGTCGAGTTGGATGTTATGTTTTAGGCTGACGGTCCTGAAATATTCGTGTCTTGGTTCATCAGGCTCCGTATGAGAAGGTATTATGGTTAATGCGCATATACACTAAACTGACTACGCTTCAAAAAGATTTGACAGTCCAAGTATCAGGCAGGCATTATAAACTCTTCTGCTCGACAATCGAAAGCCCAAACTCCTCATACTCCTCCCGGGTAACCCACCGCTTCTTGAACGAAGAATGCTCCGCCATCATCGGACCCCCCCCCCCCACCCAAGCCAACAGATGCGGGTTTGGCGGCGTGAAACCTTCAACCGGAACCCCTTTATGATTCCCAGTGCCTTCATCCACCTGTTTTTTTGGAAGGCCGTAGCCAGCCCGGGAAGAAGGGCGGTGCCGCCGGCCTGATTCAGTCTCAGTCTCGATTTGGTTTTACGTTGTTTGGGGGTGGTGGTGGTGACTTACCAGTACGATATTCCAGCTTAGAATGTTCTCAAGATCCTTATCATCATTTGTAATGGCATGCCGCACATGTGATCTTAAAGGTGCAGTGTCCAACCCTATCAAGCAGGGGTCGAAAAACGCTTCACCGGTCTCGAAGCGCTCTGATCCGATGGTTACATTCTGTCCGTCAGGTAGGGTGTATGAGCGTTCGTAGGCTGCCGGTGCTGATTTACATGTCATGGCATCGGACTCATAGTCCGGCGATACGTAGCAGTATTTCTCCTTGATGTGGCGGACGTGCTCGATGTCGAGAGTGGTGTAGAGGTCGTAGCCACGGTTCCGTAGCTTCAGGGCTAGATATTCGGTTAGTAAAGAACCCGCGGCGTGGGCTCGACGCCACTTGTCGAAGATGGGAAGGCCGTTCTGGATGGATACGATGTCGGTGGTGCTGTGACCGGCTTGGATGACTGTTCCGGTGGTGCGGCCGGAAGCGTGGAGGGAGAGGAACGGGGAGAGGTAGAGGCAGAGTGCGGGGATTGAATGTTAGCTGCAAGGCTGAGACAAGATGACGTGAGACCGGCTGTAGGGCGAGTGCATTGGACATACAAGCCTGAATCACCAGGTCTACTTACTTGACTAGAGGTATGACCTTGCTAAATGGAGCATATTGAGGATATCCGAGGAAGGGGGGGATGAACCTGCAGTCATGTGATCGTGCATGTCTCGCGGTTTTATCCCTGCACTCCTCTCTAACTGTTCAGGCATACTCACATTCTGCCCTTTGAACTCCTGAAGATATTAATTTCCCTTGAGAGTACGAGTCCTAGATTATGCATGCATAGCGCAGCTACCCTTGCTGGCTCGGGATTATGCCTTTGCAGCGGTCCGATCCATACAGTACATAGTATATGCAGTGAATTGACACCATATAAATATGAGAAGGACGGTTGCTAGCATAGACCTTTGTAAGAAAAGAAATTACTCTATCGATATCTAACGCTCAAGGGATGCTCTGAACTGTTTTGTATGTAGTGTTACCATATGGTTCATTTAAGTGCGGATATATATTCCGCTGGTAGTACTATATATTTCACCAGGGAAAACTCCACATTACAACGTTCAGTATTTTTCTTCGATCATTATGCTTTCTAGCCCGTTATTGGACTGTCAGGTAGTTTAGCAGTATCAATTAACCAAAAAGCCGAGTAGTCTCAATCAATTAGAATGGGCTGAATAAGGAATATATAGATTGCTACAACATAAGAGCGACTAGGTCATCAAATCCACGACACTCATCGATAGCTTAATGCAACATTCTACAAGAATATAATAATATAGAATAAATATACCAAGACAAGCTACCCCAATCCGAATCATAATCTACAAACCACCCATACCGATCAACTTCCAAGCCCAGAAGTATGCAAAACAATTCTCTACGAACTAGTCATCTTCACCAAGAAATTATACAATGCAATCCGCAAGTTCTATTAACTAATAATAATTAGTACTATCCACCGACCAGTCCATAGACCTGCGCCGCCGAACATTGAACAGCATGCATGTATACTAAATATCACGCTTGGAACACCAAGCCACTCCCCCACTGCACTTCACATCTACTTGCGGCAGCGGGCACTGAAAGCAGGGGTACCGTGCTCGTGCAAGACGGAGGGAGTATCGCCCTTGAGAGGGAAGGGGTCGCCGTTGCAGTCGGGTTTGCTGTTTTTATCAGCCTAGTCCTTGTAGATGGATGAAGTGGGGATTGGGTACGTACAAGTACAAGTTGCAAGTCAGGCCGTGGACGAGCTTGACGGAGTGGATGACACCCGAGGAACTATTCATCATTTATTAGAGTTTGGCTTCAAGAAATAGATAGAGGGTGGTGGCACTCACGAGGAGAAGCAAGAGCCATCACCGTTACTCCAGGTAGGAGCGCCGTGGTAGAATTCAAGCGGGTAGAGGGAGGCCTCGGTGTTTTCGAGGGCAGCGTCAGTCGCGGCCAAAGCGGGAACGATGGCCACGATGGCCAGGGAAAGGAACTTGGCGAATTGCATTGTGAAATTTGAAAGGAGTGTCGATGAGTTGGTTGTCGGATTATTGTTGTCGTTGATGATGAGGAGGATGTGGGTGTGAGGATGGGGGTTTTATAGTTGGTTGAAGGGTGTAGAAGGGGTAGGATAGAGGTAGGGATAAGAAGAGGCGTCGGCATGATGCATGCCGGGGTGCAGAGTGGGACTGTGGATCGGCAGTGGAACTAATTCCTGCCTTGGTTGAAACATTTTGGATGTTTGGGAGAGATGGCCCCTTGATTCGATGACCCCGCGTTGGGATTAAGGTAGGTTAGGGAATGTAGGCGCGTATTCAGTTGATGTTTATCCTGTCTTATGGCTGTTATGATTACAACAGGATTAATGAATACTCAGGCTGAGGTTCACATTGGATGCTACTTTTCTAGATAGACTAGCTAGTTGATAATATTATAAAGGATACTACTGCTCTCTTTCAATTCCACGTCCACATGCATAACTCTGTAAAGGAGAGACATCACGGTCTCCATAACTAGGGTTTGATCCACTTTGCATCCCTGCAGACCGTCCGTACTTCACAACCACTATGCACGAGGAACAGCATGCGGGATAATCATGACCTCTCTTTGGATAAAACAATCATTCTTCAGCAGAGCATGCTAGATACCTCTAGTTATTCACGCAACCATGTACATCGTTGATCCTTAACCGACTACACCGTCCAACTAGCATCCTATCACCCTCGCATAGTGTAACACGCCCTTCTACCCTCAACATACATCCATCCACTACAAAACAATCCTCCATAACTCACATCCTAATAATCAAACCACATACCTAACCTCAACATCCAACATCCAAGATCAAGAAAATATCTCACCAAAAAAAATCACTTCTTCACCACGACCCCAAAAACCCTCGGATACCTCAACAACACCCCCCCATCTGCCCTCCTCTGATACCCCCTCTCCCCCCTTAAACCCTCCTCATAAACCCTCAAAAACTCCCCCTCCTCATCCCCCCCCAACCGATCCAAATACGGCCTCAACCCCGTCCCCCTCACCCACTCCACAATCTCCCCATGCCCCCTCAACGCATGATAATACACCGTCCTCCACACCTTCACCTCCACCCCACCGCCCTCCACCAACACATCATAAATCTCCTCCGGACTTTCCACCTCTTCCCTCCCTACATCGCTTAATTTCTCCTTCCATGGCCCAGAGGCTGCAACTTCCCGCATGAGCACGTGCGATGGCTCGGAGAGTGTATCGGGCATTTGGAACGCGAATATCCCTCCGGATGGTTGTGTAGATACTAGTCGTTTGATGACTTGGAGGCGTTCACCGCGCGGAAGCCATTGGAGGACTGCGTTGGAGAAGTAGATGTCCACTGGGGTGGAGGGGTCCGGGGTGTAGGATTCCACGGAGCCGAGGGTGAAGGTGATGTTCTCAGCTGTGTTGAGAGTGGTGGTTTTGGCTTGTTTGATCATGTCGGGCGAGGAATCGATCCCGGTGATGTTGGCCGTTGGGTACCGGGTTGCGAGGATGGCGGTGGAGTTGCCGGGGCCGCAGCCTAGGTCGATGATTGTGGTGGGGGAATGGGAGGGGATGTGGTTGAGGAGGTCTTGGGCGGGGGTGTTTCGCTCCGAGGCGAATTTGAGGTATTGGGTTGGGGACCAGGTGGTCATTTTTTTGGTTGTGGTGGTGGTGGTGAGGCGGGTGATGAGGGATGGGAAGCGGGGATGGTGGAGCATAGGTGGGTGTAGTGCTAGAGATGGATGGAACTTGGAAGGGAGTAGATTTGATGGTGATGAGTAGTTTGACTAGGGAGCGGTCTGTGGATGGGAGTATTTATATATTTTCTACGTGTGGTGTTGAGGTGAAGGACAACGAAGGATCATGAGTATGATGTCTCATGGAAGTGCCGATCCTCGGCGGGAACATGATTGGTCTGGTCAGCCTCCTCCAATGGATATCATCGTTAAGGCGAGCAGCGCTCATACGTTATACTCCGATCAGGTCTGCTTATTGATTAAGATAGCTGATATTATGCGATGACTCCGGTCCTCGCTTTATGCTGGGTACAGCATGGAATGTTCGTGGTGGATTGATCGACTGCCAAGTAGGATTGGTCGATCACCTATGGTAGTGGACTAATATAGTACTAAGTCCTGGATAATATCGGCCGGAGCGAGGGTGTTATGCTATACAGACTGAACTCTGAATACTTACCAGCCTTGTCTGCACAACAGGACACCGCGATCCTTCCATTCCGCCACGGTAATTACCCACGCTGCTGATGTCTCTTGGACTGTTGTATCGACAGAGAGGATCAAGCCTTGTCTTATTGAAGCAACGTCGGACCACCGAATTCGTCCGACTTGACGCAGTGTCCAGGTCATAGTATGCCTTTCACGTCACAATCATATCAAATCAATCGGGCAGAATGGTTATGAACCTGTGGGAGATATCCTCCTGACCATTGTGACAGAAAGGATCTTCCATTCCAGGGCTCACTGATGCGATTCCTTTCACGACTTCTTGTACCCATCTTATCCCCTTAGCATCAGTGTTGCCCACAATTCACCTCATCATCCACGAACTCTCAAGAACTTCCCTCGCGACGTTGTCGGGCTGTGTGAAAGGCAGACACGATGAGAAGACAATGTGCAATGGATATTGAAGATTTTCCGATGAATGAAGACGTAAGTGTGATCGGCCCACAGGGAAGATTAGAGATATGAGTAAGACACGATCGGAGCAATATGCAGCGGGGGTGAGCACGGTGACTAGTAGTAATGCACGTCAGCACGTTATCTAAGAATATCCCCCAATGACTGAATTATAAGCATCGGACTGAGCTGGATTGGTTGCCTGCAGCAGAGGGTACCTGCGTATATGCTGTGCTTAATCCTGATACTGTGTGTGGTCATAGAATTAATAATCTGAGGAGTTCGAATGCCTGTAAGCCAAATAGCTGATGTCGATGTGTGTTCGATGGAGAGATCATCTGTATTGATGTAGGCGGGGTAAAGCTGAGATGTGCGGGGTTGATTTGATAGCATGGGAGTCACGGGAGCAAAGACTCACTGACGGGAGTGCTCACACGTTGATTAAGCCAGACGCGAATGCAAACAGTGAAGCTTGAATGAGAGAATTGTATGTTGGCTAGATATGGCCTAACCAGGGCCACGTCACTAGTGCTGCGCTTCGCATCGAGAAGAGCTTAGAAAGGTACCGCAAGGCCATCGGCGTATCAAAAATTAGATATAGTCTCTGGATGACGCTAAAAGTACTGTAGAATCACCGCAGACATCTGCTAAGCCACTTAAGAGGCACCGCATTCAGAAAGCCGGCAAGACAAAAAGCACACAGATATAGTCAGGTGACATGCCTGCTCCAAGCTCTCTACCTTATCAACACACAGCGAATCCCTCAGACTCCTATACATCTACCGCTCTTACATCAACTCTCTGAATCTCAGTAATCAATCCAGCTATCACCAACATCTACTCTTATCCCCCCTCAGTACTCATCTCTGCAAGTCACAAATGCCCGGAAACTTTCTCCCGATCCAACTCCACCACTTGTCACATCATCTCCACCCATCCCTGGTGTAAACCTTGGTGCCCACCACCCACCACCACAACTAGCCATCCCCATCATCAATTTCTCTCACTATCTACACCCTCCCAATATAACAATATGCTACGCTACAACAGAGTAGACTATCCCTCAACACCAGCCCCTAGAATCCATGTCATTGGTATTAATAAAGTTCAAATACGAACTCAAGACACACATATCCGCACCTTAACGACCGATCCAGAGCATCTTCCGCCAAGAAACCATCCCTCATTACGATGGGCAGGATTTAGCCCGATTACTATCTACCGAAGATCAATACGAGGCGAGATCTGGACCTACAACCAGAAAAAGAAAAAAAAAAAATATGAAACTGAAAAGAAGGAGATAATCCAGTAATACGAACTCAACACACACCAATTACCCCCAACGACGATCCGGAGTACGGAGTACGGAGTATAATCAAGGAAATGAAGAATGAAGAATGAAGAATGGAATGCTCAGCTCGGACCAGCCGGATCTCCCGCCGCGCTGCAGCCACAAACCCATCAACCTACCAATCTACCCATCTAGATCCATCCATGCATCGGCGACACCGAGATCCACAATCCAATCCCAATCCCCTAACTAACCCAATCCTGTTTTACATCAACTGTCAACACGATGATGAAGTGGCGTCTAGCTTACCTTATTCCCCTGCATATATTTCCCATTTCTACTATCATAATATAAGAGGTATTATCCAACGAATCAATCCACCCCATCCCTCATCAAAAAGTAAAAGCAGAAAAAAAAAATACATTACATCACCCCAAACACACCCCAAACGCACAAACCAAGGACCCGGAACCGAACCGGAATCCGTAATACCATTTGGCCAATGCGCTGGCAAGGATTCAAAGCTAAATTGGATAGTACGAACTGGTAGCTCCATCTGACAGGTTAATTCCGAGGGGGTGATGTGATTGGGTTTCGGTGTTGTCCGAGGGTTTAGTTTTTCGTGGTCCTGGGAGGTGGGGGCTAGCTCTGGTACTTGAGTTGCCCATTATTCATACTTGTTGGGTAGGCGGTGAGGTATATCCCTGCTATTTGCTAGGGAGCAAAGGTAGTATCTGGGTTATACAATTATTGATGATGGCTCACTTAAGAATTCATTGGTAGAAAGTATCATGTCAATCTATAATCACGCTAATCATCCCAACGGGTATCCAACAAACCGCCCCAGAATAAATAGCCTACTGGCTATCCTCATGTAACCGCACCGTCACGTTATCGCCCGGTGCATTCGTCAGATTCACCGCCATCTTGACATCTCCTTGGGCCGTCGGACCAACACCCTCGAAGCGATCAAATCGCTGTAGGAGACGCACCAGCACGTAGCCGGCCTCGGTCAGAGCAAACTGCTGTCCGATGCAGATACGCGGGCCACCGTTGAAAGGCAGATACTCCCAGCCGACCTTGCGCTCGGACCACCGGTCGGGACGGAACTCGTCCGCGTCAGGGCCCCATAGGTCGGGACGACGGTGCATAACGAACGTGCTGTAGAAAACGGACTGTCCCTTCTTGATGTAGATGGGCTCCGTGCCGCTGGGACCACCGCCGGTCGGCAGGGTAGTGTTGCGAACAGCAGTACGGCGGTTACCGGGCACGATGGGGTAGAGACGGAGGACTTCATTCAGGAAGTTCTGCAGGGGACGGCAGGACTTGAGGTTGGCAAAGGTGATGTCGTGGGGCTGGGTGTAGGTGCCAAATTCGGTCAGGATAGTAGAGCGGAGGGCAGTGAACACATCAGGGTAGCGCGCCAAGAACAGGACACACCAACTCAGCAGCGACGCCGTGGTATCACGACCAGCCAGGAGGATATTGAGCAGCTGCGACCGCAGCTCGACAGGATCACGAGTGGCCTCGGCCAGACCGTGCAGGAAGACGTAGTGGGCGGGCTTCTTCTCCGGGTCAGAAGACAGGGCAGCGTTGACGAAGCGGTCGACGTAGGCGTGAACGGCCTGGTTGATCGCACGGCTTTCCTTGTTGTCGACAATCCAGTAGAGCTTCTCAAAGCGGGAGCGCTGAGCGGCATACCATTGGCCACGGTCGAACTGAGCGGGGAAGTTGTCCTGGGGAATGGCACCGTTGCTGAGGGCGGCAGCCTGGCTCTGAACACTCTCCCCGAAGAGGAACTCGGTGGCGGTATCCATGGTCAGACGGAAGAAGATGGTCTGGATGTCGGTGGCGGGGGTCCAGCCCGTGGCGTCAACCGGCATGGCCTTCATGGCCTGCTGCACATGACGTTCCTCGAGATCCAGGTCGCTGATCTGGTCACGGGTGAACTGGGGGCGGAGGAGAGCACGGGAACGAGACCAATGGTCGCCATCAGCAGTGAACTGCGTTCGTTAGTCTTATACCATCAATCACATCAGTCAGACATACGATGCCACTGCCGAGCAGCCAGTGCATAGAGTTGCGGCGGACCTGGCCCAGCTCAAAGTCCTTGAACTGGGTGGCCAAGAGGGCCTGGACGTTCTTGGGTTCGGAGGTGCTGATGATATCGGTCCCGAGTTGGCGGAACTGGAAGGTGGTGGTGTAGCGGTTCTCGCGAGCAGACAGAGTGGCGATGCGGCGACGGGTGAGCATGGGCAGCTCCCGATCCTTGTCGAGCTGCAGGGCCTCCTTGAGGGTGTTGACACCCAGCAGGTCGCCGGGATAGCTGGGCACAGCCCCGCAGTTCCATTTACGGGCATTCTGGGCATGTTGCCAGCGCGTCAGGAGCACCCAAACCAGGTATAGGACGGGGGTGGCCGTCGCGACAAAAAGAAGGGTCGACATGGCGGCGCGATCGAAGGTGGGAGGAGAGCCAAGCAAGGAGCTGAACTGCGCCGGGAGGTCATTCACTTTATAGTGGCGTGAAAATCAACCGAGGCAGGACGGAACCAGCGATGAGGCGACTGCGCGTGTGTCTGGCATTAGGACAGCGACCGTTCGGGCCAGTCGATGATTAGTCGTCGGGGTGGATCTGGGATGAGCCTTCACGGGGACGGAACCAGAGTATCATTGGGGAGGGAGTGACCGGCGAAGTCCTAGTCTGGCTGGTGAAGTTCGGAGGAGCCACTGGATGAGGATTGAGGAGGCGGCCGGCGCGAAGGAAGAAGCGGCCCAGCGGTGGGGTTCGGCCGCCTGCCTGTTCAAGCCACTGACCGGCGCGGTATTACCGACTGGCTGGTGGATTTATTACCGGCGCTCCTGCATAAGCCGTCTTCTAGAGTATTAAGCACCACACCAACTGTTCCCTCCAACGGGGATCCCACCCGGACAGGAAAAAAGCAATCTGCAGGATGATTAGCCTTGCCAGACGACTTTCCCACAACCACCCTATCGGTGTATCACTAATCACGAATCGTCATTCCCAGCTCGGACCATCCCCGTCCACAACGATCAGGAGAACCCGTGAAACATGTGCGTCTCTCAGATCCGAGGCAGGTTTCACTTGATCCAACCCCCGGTTGGGTCGTGATCGGCGCGGTTCCGGATGCCGGCCGCCCATGTATCTATCCCTTTACAGGGCCCAACTTTCAGATCGTGATATTCTTTGCTCTATCCATCTATCATTGTATGATGTATATAGTCTACTCGGTACGCATCACACCTTCCGCCGCACCAACCCCCGGAAGAAATCAAAGCTGTTGCTGTCGCTCTGCAGCTGCCACACCCGTCCAGTGGGCCGGTCGTCCCAGCCCAGTTCCTCCGCCAGCAGCAGCCCGTAGTCCCGCGTGATCCCCTTGATCCGCGCCCGCACGCCCCCCTCTTCTTCCAGCGTCACCACCTGGTGCATGTGCAGCCAGTCCTCATAGTACATCGCTTCAAAGTCTCGGTCGAAGCCGGCCCGTAGGAACCGGATGTAAAGCTCTTCGAATGTCGTCAAGATCCGCGCCAGCAGCTTCTCCAGCGTGATCGGGGCCGCCCGTGGCCCTAAGAACCGCGCCACCAGCGCCGTCAGGGAGGTTGTGGGGGAGGCGTTGGTCGCGTTCACGCCAATGCCCACCACCGAGATGTACTCATTCGCACAGTAGTGCGAGTTCACCAGGATACCACAAATCTTGGCGTACTGCTTCTTCTCCGGCTGCTCCGGGTCCAGTGCATCTATCGTCGATCAGTATCATAAAAACCAGTTGGGCACATGGCAGCACATACACACGTCATTCGGCCACTTCAACTTGACCGGCAGCTGCGAGTACCCCACGTCGTAGCTCTTGATTCCCCGCACCACCGCCATCGCCGCCAGATACTGGATGAACACCACCGGTGCCGACTGGATCTTCTCCAGCGGGTGCCGCAGCACCGTCGAGAAGATCAGCGCCCCCGCGGGTGACACCCACACGTTCGACCCCCGGCCTCGGCCCGCCACCTGCGTCGTGGCGCTGGCGGTGAATCCGGTGGGCAGCTGGCGTAGCAGCTTGGGGTTTCTGACTTGTCAGTGCTCTGCATCGTACGGGTCACTTTCCGGATGGTGTTAGCGCACTTACTTTTCCAGGATCGTGTTCGTGCTGGTCACCACCTCAGCATACACCAGGTTGGCGCCAAACTCGGAAGCCCCCTCGCGGGATTGAGCCTGGTACTGGCGAAGGTTGGAGTAGAAGGCATGGTGGTTGAAGTAGGGCGTCAGCTTTGACGAAGGCACGTCGTCGTGCACCACCAGCCGCTTCACAATCGCGCTATAGTCCACAATGCCCTCCGTCGACTGCGGTTCTGGCAGCGACTCCTCCAGCTGGCTCAAGTTCCACGTGCCCGGCCGCTCAATGCGAAAGGTGTCGTTTTCATCCTTGAGGATCTCGTCGTCGCCATCCTTGGTGATGATCTCCTGCCAGGACGCGACTAAGTCGGCAGTGTCGGTCGGCTCCAGTGCAGATAGATGCAGCGATGACAGCGACGGCACGGTGGTCGTGCTCTGTGTCACCTGCAGGCCCAGCTTGACCAGAACCGCCTTGAGAAAGTCCGTCCGGGCCTTGTCATCGGCTTCGAGCGCCTCCACCACCTTGGCATATTCCGGGCCGGCCGCCTTCTTATCCAAATTCGCAGCCGCAAACCTATCAATCAGCACCGCACAACAACAGTGAACAGAAGACTCACTCCGGATGCGGTCCTGTAAGGACTGCCTTTCCCTCTCCCACACGACAAAGAACCACCGCCGCAGCACCCTTCCCAGGATCAACATTCAGCTCCTCCGCAAAGCTGGCCAGAACCTCCACTCCCTGGTCCGCCAACAGCGGTGCATCAACAAACACGCCACCTCCATTGTAGTAAGACCGGAAGCGATCGGGCACAATGCCGACGTTCAGGACATCCTTGGACACCGTAATCTCCGCAGCCCGCGCACCCGCCTCACTGTGGTATACGAAACCCCCGAAAGCCCCTCCGCGACACGTCCCCGGGTAGAAAGCGAGTTCGCGCTCCCCGATGACCTGTAGCGTCTTATCGCCGACCTCGAACTCGCAGCGTCGAGATCCGTAGTATCCGCCTGCACAGAAACCAAGATAAGCACCTCCGCGCTTGACGAATTGTTCGATGCGACGGTTGCCAGGGCCGTTGAGGGCGCGGCAGTAGCCGAGATCGGCGCCGCCGGGGATGACGAGCAGGGCGCAGGTGGCGGTCCAAGGCTCGCGGATGAGGGCGTCGGCGGTGACGGGGATGACGGCGTAGTGGGAGGCGAGGAGACGACGGAGGGAGTAGAGGCAGTGGCGGACGGATTCGACGGTGGTTCCGTTGCCTGATCGGTTAATGGGTAGTCAGTAAAGGACCCCAGCTTCCGAGGAGGGGAATGTTGGGGGGGTACCGGAGTAGACCAGCACGTTGACCTTTTTGCCGGTCAGGTTGGGGGTCGCCATTCCGTTGCAACCTCCGTCAGAGTTGGTCGATCAGCACGCACAATGTCGGAACAAGAGAGAAAGGAGAACCCGCCGGTGGAGGTGGAGGAGGATGAAGAAGAGGATGACGAGCCGGACGAATGGTGAGTGTTGACTCAAGTGTTGATTGGGGTGGTTGTTGGGAGGGTGACTGACGATTGGTAGGGACAAGCGGATCTTCAGCACCGGCTGTGCAGGTACCTTTCCTTTCAGCTGACTGCGAGTGTTGATGATAGATGATACTGATGACTGCAGTGGAACAAGAGCAAATGAACGACTGCTATTTTGCAAAGAAGGACTGGCGGAGTTGCCAGGGAGAGGTGAGCACCATGACTCCTACTACTGAGATACCTACTCATCAGCGCAGATGGAGGCTTTTCGCGAGTGCTGGAAGCGCCAGGGCAACGACGAGCGCACCCAGACCAAGGATGCCTAGGATGCTTAGGATGATTCCTGTATTTGCTGTACTATAGATTTAGAATCCAACTCTCTCTCCTCCCTCCAATTTGTTCACCAGAACCATGACTGAGCCTGAGGTTACACATCACGTGACACTATACAGACTGACTTCATTCTTCACATCCGTTCCACTCACACACCACCCACCAGACATCACGACCACCACCATGTCCCTCCCCCTGCTAACGCGCTCCTTGCGCGCGCCTCTCAGCAAACCACACTCCCCACTCCTCATCCGCAACATCACCACCCCACCAACCCGCTACCAACAACCCGCCAAACCAACCTACAACAACAACACCACCAGCGCCACCACCACCACCCCCAAACCCACCTCCCCCTCAACCCCTACCACAACCCCCACCACCAACACCCCTTCAACAGCACCCCAACAAATAACCCCCACGATCAAAGCCCTCCACGACACGCCCCCCTCCCCCACCCAACCGACAGAAGACAAAATCGACTGGACGCGGTCCTTCCACGGGCTCAGCGCCACCCCCTTCCCCAAAGAATGCGCCGACATCCTTCTCGCACCGACAGACCCCAACGAAGTCGAAATCAAACCCGACGGGATCCTCTACCTGCCTGAGATCAAGTACCGACGGATTCTGAATAAGGCGTTTGGACCTGGTGGGTGGGGCCTTGTGCCCAGGGGGGAGAGTATTGTTACCCCGAAGATGGTTACGAGGGAGTATGCGCTTGTTTGTGTGGGGAGGTTCGTATTTCTTTTCCTGGGGGTAGTATGGTGGGAGGGGGGGTTGAGGGTAGGGATAAGCTAATGTGTGGTTTGTGTAGGTTGGTTTCTGTGGCGCGAGGCGAACAGGATTATTTCTCGCCGGATGGGATTCCTACTGCGACGGAGGGATGTCGGTCGAATGCGTTGGTGCGGTGTTGTAAGGACCTCGGTATTGCGAGTGAGCTGTGGGATCCGAGGTGGATTCGCAAGTACAAGGCCGAGTATACGCGGGAGGTGTTTGTGGAGCATGTGGTGAATAAGAGGAAGACGAAGATTTGGGTGCGCAAGGATGATCCGGTTGGGTATCCGTGGAAGGAGACCAAGTGATCTCCTCTCCTCTATATTACGTGCTGGTTGGGGGATGGATGGATAGAGTATTGTAAGTTAATGTACGATAGATTAAGCTAGCTGCACAGGAATGTATCTAGTAACACATCAAGAATCAAAGATCATCACTCATCATGGCTCACGGCCGTCGGGGAACGAACCGTCCCGGCTCCGTCTCTGAATGCGGCGTCGTCCCCGTTGGCGATGGATACTCGCGTGGCTCGGTCGGGTGCATTGAGGGCAGCTCGAACGGCTGGTTCGGGTCGTATGGGTCTTCCGGGTCGTAATATTGTCCCGGGTAGTTGTAGTACTCAGGCGGTTGGCTCGCCGTCGTGCCTGACATGGGCTCGACTGACCCCGCGGACGGCACCCGGGGCAGGCTCACTCGATGACGGGGAGGCACGGGCTGAGAGAGAACAGGTACGTCGCCCTCCGGGGCGGTGAATGAGGTGCGTCCCTCCTTGCGACGACCCGTCGACGGTTCCCGTGTCATCAATCCGTACGTCACGTTGAGTTGTCGCTCCTGGCCGGGCGAACCCACAGGCGTCAGGTAGTTATCGTCGTTGTCGTCGCGGGAACCATCCTGCGAGCGAGTGGAGTGTTCGACGGTGAGACCTCCGCTGTAGGAGCTGGATGCACCCATCCCCCGGCGTTGCAGGGAGTCGGGCGAGCTGCCAAAGTCGAAGCCGGTCGATCGGGACTCGCTGAAGGGGACTCCCGCGGTGGTGTTGGCCCGTCTCACGCCTTCACTGGCGATGGAGACCTGGCGGACGGGAAGGGTCTGGTCCTCGAGGGCGGTATCTGACTTGTCGTCGTCCTTGAGCTCGTCTTTCTTGTCGTCGTCGTCGGAGGCACCCGGGGCGCGGATCGGGACCTTGCGCACGGCGGTGATCAAAGCGCACATGAACTTGGACCGACGGGCAGCGCGGACGGCCTCGTTCGACCAGTTGGATTTGTGGCAGATTAGCACGCTCAGCTCCATCTTGTCCATGTCGCCCAGGCCCACCACGTCGATGGTGACCTCTGGCTGGAAGTCGCGAGAGTTGTCCTTGTCGCGCACAAAGGCCTCCATCTCCTCTTGGAGCTGCTGAATGTGGGCGAAGGTGGTGGCGAAGCTGACGGGGATGGTGAGACGCTCGTGCATGGCGTTGGCGCGGGTGAAGTTGTCGATCCAGAGCGTGTTGAGGACGACATTGGGAACCTGCGTCATGCGGTGGTCGTTGACGTTCCGGAACAGGGTGTACAGCAGAGAGATGCGCTCCACAAAGTATGGCTTGTCGCTGATTTCCACGCGGTCGCCTACGTCGAAGGGATGCTTGACGAAGAGGAAGATGCACGAGCCGAGAACTTCTTGGGCGGTGGTCGAGAAGACGAAACTGAGGGAGAGTAGGGAGGTGGCACCCGCCGCGATGACGGTACCGAAGCCGGTCGTCACAAAAGACACGAAAACAAGGATGGCGATAATGCCCGCCACGGTGAGCAAGAGGTTGTCCAAAACGTGAATGGCCTGGTCGACATCGTGCAGACTGTTGTTCAGTGACTTTCTCATCCGGCGGACTTCTCCCACGGCCAGAATCATCTCTTCCAAGCTGATGTCGCCGTTGCCGTCGCGATCCAGCATGGCGAAGCATTCCTCTGCCTCCGCCTCCATTCCCGCGCCGAGAACCTCGCAGATGTCGTCAAAGTACAGCGCCTCACGCCCTTCGATAACAAAAGACATCCAGATTCTCCGGGCAAGAGCCTCGGCCGTCCGTCGGTGTTCCATCGCTTGGGTCACCACGGACCGGGTGGACGTGGGGTTGAAGACTTGCTTGCCAGTCAACTCATGGGCGACGTCTCCGAACGCCGCCGTCACCTTGTTACCGAAGTGGTGAACATTCTGACCGACCTCCCGGATCATGCGAAGAGGCGCCGAGCTGTTAGTACGCCTGGTCTTGGAGGCTGCCGTGCGGAGGAGCGAGTCGGAGATGGCGGCATCCTCCTCGCGGAATTCCTTGCAGTACATGGGAAACATGTGGCGCGAGGCGTCGAACAGCAGTCCTACCAGATACACATTGCGTTTCGACTCTTTAATCCGGGCGTCGAACTGCTTGCGGTGGTAGCTGATCGAGATGAGGTGCACCATGGCTTTCTCCGCCAGAAAGATCAAGCTGCAGACGAACAGAGCAAACAGAATGTTCTTGACAGATTTCTCCCAGGACTTCGTAGACGTGTCGCCCTTGGCTTTTTGGTGTGGATTTTGAGTCATGACCTGCAAAATTAGCGATGATGTCAACCCATTGAGGACCGACCTACCGGCAAGAACGTAACCAAGCACACCACGCACCAAAACACGGTCGCAATCGGCATTTCCAATTTCCGCAGGATCAAAGCGTACTTGCGAGTGCCCGAGCTGACGAACCCGCAGAGGGCCTGGAAGATGTACGGCAAGATCTTTGCAACCAGCTTGCATAACCACAGACTGACCCAAACGATCTCGATCCAGAACCAGAACCACGGCAGGGTCACGCCACCGATAGTCGCGTCCTGCGCGACCGTGGCGCCCACGATGATGGGAATGGCAAGCAGCAGTGCAATCGGTGCCACATAGATGAAGTATCGAGTGACGACGGAGTAGTTGAGGACCGCCTGGTAGATCAGGCCCATGCGTGTGACTGTGCCATCCTCCGGATCTTCGAGCGAACGCCCTGTGCTCTCGTCAATCCGCCGACGCATCCCTGGATTGGGCGCGACCAACCCCTCCTTCTCGCCGCCATTTTTGTCGTCTCCCGGGGGTTGAAACGGGCTTGGCGAGCCTCCGATATTGCTACTCGTTTTGCGGGCGCCGGTCTGATTCCGACTCGGCACCGGGTTCAAGGGTATTTCGATAGTGACGTCGTTAGGATTCGCCATGTCAGGTGTCATGTCGGGAAGCTGCTGGAAGCGATGAGCCGACAGGCGCTTCTCCGTTAAGCCAGGTCGTCCGGACATGAAGGTTGGGAAAGGCATGGGGATTTAAAAGAAGGACTAGAAACGAGGCCCGAACTGCCGGCAGCTCTAATTAGCGAGCCAAGTCGCAATTGGTCGGAGAAAACTCCTTAGGACGTAAGATCGGTTTGCACAGTCCAGGCAGGATCTGACAATCAATAGTGAAAGAGTGCGAGTCCACCGGTTCGTGTGGAGTGAGTGGGTCGAATGAAAGTAAAACGTTGGACTGGGCCAAGAGTTGGACTTGGAGATCAGAGGGATCGGACTTCGGAGGGTATCGACTGCAGCGAACGAGTGTGTAATTGAAAAAGCAAAAGAAGGAAGAGGGTTGGACTGAAACGAGGACACTATCGAGGGATGCTGTGAGCAGTCGAAGGAAGAAAATCACAGCCCGTCGCAGGAATGTCCCGGACGCGACTGTCAGAGAGGACCAAAAAGAGGGGAGCACCCACGCGAGCATGTTTCAGTTTTGGCTGAAGTCACGGCGGTGCAATGATGGAGTCATTGGGGGCTGGCCTGGCTGGAATCCGCCGATCATTCCCCGTCCCATTGTTGTTGGTCGGGCGCCGCTGAGCTGAAATGTTCGTCGCGATGAGATAATGGCCACCACTATAGGTGTTCTAGCCCTATCAGCGTCCCTGAATGCGATCGATCTTGAAAAGCAAGCGACGATGCCCCCACCAGTGCGAGGGGTGCCTGGTCAGTGGTCAAAAGGTGGACAGGCAGTGGACAGTGGAGATGCAGTGAGTGGGTGGTGGCTGATTTGCCCCGTCGGAGTTGGGCGGTGCCGCATGCCCTAATGACCGCTTTCGGCCACTAGGGCTTGCCGTCCACGGGCGGCGACCGTTGAATCCAGTCGCCGTTCATCCTTTCCCTGGTTTCACCACCTTCATTCATCAGGCACCAAAGGATACCATTCGATCCGTCGTTTTCATCTCGCTAATGATGCCCCTTCAGTGCTCTGGTAAACCTTGTAAGGCTGCCGTCCAGGGCCACCCTCGCCCCTTAATCTGCCTCAATTTCGCTGAAACGGTACCTGTCAGCCCGTCAGACGCTAACCGTGTCCCTGGGGCTAGTCGCAATCCGGAGTAGTGATGAGTGATCTAGTCCAGACTCAAACCCACGGGCGTGGAAGACGAAAGCCGAACCATTACCCAGGCCTCAGATTATTCTTCCTACTGCTATTGGAGACCTCAATAATAACTGTCTCATTTCCACACATATCATGCCTACACCAATCCCATCACAAAGATCCATAAAACCACGATGTTGATATGATCTATCCACGGAATTTCGGAGTTTTCGTGTCTGGCGCAGCGATACTCATCGCACCGCGGGTCTGGCCGAAAATATGACAGGTGGCTTGTCAGGCGTTTCAGGGTGGCTTTAAAGTTTTAGTCTCCGAGCCAACCCGCCACAATCCATCTTGCTGAGCAAGTCCAGGGACGGGTAATTTAAGTTCAATATAATGTTGTCGTGCTGGCAACGGGAGTGTGGCTGCTTATTGCCAGTGGTTACAGGTATATTTGTGTAGTCAAGCTCTCGTCCTTGGGTATTGGATTTTGACGATATTCTGTAGTTACGGAGCAAGGCCGTAGCAACGATATATGAGATACGGCATACAGAAGACTGGTGTCTTCTGGCATTTACAAGGTATATTCGAGATATACTACTTAGCCATACACAGATATTGTCAAAACAGCAACTCTCAGGATGCAATGACTGCATTAGTGCAACAATACCGTATCGCCGGGATAGAGAAAACCATGTTATCCCTTCCCTGCCTATCGACCTGCCATTAAAATTCGAAAATTATAATTCAATATGCCAAAATGGCAGAAAGGCTTGATATGAAACTTCCTCATCTTGCATACCAAGCAGGAATCAAAAACAGCATCTTTCATTAACCTATAATACGGCTACATGAGAACTTCACAACCAATTTGAACCCTTCCCGGAGCCCCCAATTTTGCCCGTTACGAGAGAATTTGAAGAGGGCTGGACGTGGGTATGAATAGCACTCTACTAAGACTACTGATTGTATGACATTTGTATAATTTCAGCAACTAAATCAAGATTTCAAAATGGTGCTGCTCAGTAGTACGCTATCTATCGTATCGGAGAGCATCCCGCAAATGACTCCGATGCTGAACTCATTGATGGGCCAGATGCTGTCAATCACCCGCTTGCAGACCTCCCGGCATGACGCTTGAGTTATGTATACTCCATATACACGACAGTAATCGGTCTACGAAACTCAAACTTGGTGACAAGGGCGACAAAACAAATGGAGATTGCTTCCCATCCCTCCTTGGCTACAATCGCCGGGGAAGCCAAAACCACGTTTGCAGGTATTGCGTGGTCAATCGTGACGGTTCTCGGAATCCCAACCAATCAAGATAAGTTGTGGTCTTCCAAGAATCAGCCGTTATTCTTTCAACGAAGACGTCCAATAAATCCGAGCTGATGTTCTGGAAAAGGTCAGTTTCAATTTCGAGGATGTGCAATTTCAAGGCAGCTCGTAATAAATGTGTGGCCGCGTCACTGTCGTGTTCGATCTTCCAGTTGTGGATCAGCCTTTTCCCGATTTCGGTACCGAGTGTAGGGTTGTGAGATACTTCAGTGCGACGTTGATCCATAATGGGGTGTTGGGCTCGGGCGAGCATGATCAGGGCTTTGACACTGGTCTTCTCCATGAACTCTTCCGGAGAGACTTAGCTATAAACCTCTTGTCGTTGTCCGGGGCCGCTGACTCTTGGGAGAATCTTTTTGAAGCGGTCTTCATCATTCACGAGACAGGTAGCAACCAAGGCATTTCCATAGATACCATGGGGGGACGTGGCATCGACATCAATAAGAGCTGTGCTGAGCAGAATATCAAGAGTCTCGGTGCTTTTTGAAGTATTACTCCGCGGTTTTTCTTTGGGGTTGTCGCCGTCGGAGCCACATGTAGCAATTAGTGCAGTGGCAAAATCACCAACAGACGACTGAGTATTGACCTCAATATCAAGATGGTCCACAAGCATCCGGACAATGGTAGCTTTGTGTTTTGCGCATGCGGCAATGAGCGCAGTGCCGTATCTACCCTTAGACGCCTGCAAGTTGACCTGTAACCCAGGTTGTTCAAAAAGCAACTTTACCGTTCGAGGGTTTCCAATGCGACACGCAGCGATCAATGCAGCCCCATCGTAAGCCTCTGTATCCGGCCCCCTCTTTGCGTTGATATCGATGTTGGGTTGGCTTGAGAGGAATCATCAAGTTCTGACGAGGACTGAGAATACTGTCAATATCCTGAATCTGATCCTCCAAGTCTGCATTGCCTTCTTGTTCGTTAGCAAGGCTCACAGCTGCAACCAAAACAGACGCCTTGCATGTTCCTCTGGCTGCCTGTAACCAACAGAATGCGCGCAAGGCACTTTCACCCAGCACGTCAGATCTGATTTGGCTCATCAAGCCGCTGTATGTATCCACGAGGCCCTTGGGCAGTTGGGCAAGCGCTGCCAAAATGCCAGCTCGATTTTTCTGGGATAGGATATGCGCAATGTGCATTGCTGCCCATTGAAACCTGACCGAGTCAATACTAACATGGCTTGACTTTGAGAGTTGCCTACATTCCTCGCTCTTGTTCAGGAAGGTATCTATAATCTTTTCCTCCAGCTCTTGCACGGCCTTTTTTTATTACATCGCCATGATCTTTGGAACTCATGAACGAGTTGATCTGTTGCCGAACGAACCCGTCGATGTCGTCCTTGTTGTCAGTCGCCGTGATGGAGATTGTGGGATAGTTCTCCAGCCGCGTATGAATTATACGCTGATCTCGACTGGAGATGATCACTTTCAGGCGGTGGCATAACTTCAGTAATCGCTTTAATGTCTCGAGCAGAGATTTCTTGGACTCCTCCGAGCATTCATCCAGCGCATCCAGGCAGAGAACCACATTGCCATTCATTTCGATGACGTTCTTGAGGATTTTCTGGACGTGTTTCATATGGATAATCCGGCTTGCCGAACCAATCTTTCCTTTGACATTGTATAGACGTTGGAGGCTTTTGGGAAGCGGATCACAGGATATTGCCAACTGCTTTGCGAGGCTTCTGAGGATCGTCACACCGTCCCTGCGAGACTCTTCGTATCGACGGCAGTAGAAAAACGCTATTCGGTCCGTTGCTGTTCGTGACTGCCCTTCGGGGGCAGTGCCACTGGATATTTCCTCTTTGAACTTCTCTATTACGACGCTCATAATTTTGGTCTTTCCCGCTCCGGCTGCGAGATTGATTAGTCGTTTGTTGCTCGGGTCTCAGTGGTCGAACTTACGGATCCCATTCGACCACAGAATCCGACGTCTTCTCGAATTCTGCCATGACTCGAATTCATGTCGCTTGGAAACCCATCTTCCCGTACCCTTGGCAACGACTTTTTTTTTTTTTGCCTCGTCGTGTTGGTCTTCATAAGGAATGTTTGATATCCACGCCAGAATGTCTTGACGTCTCTTTGCATCCTCGATTTGGCGCATCAGCTTCAGAAGTTGCTGCCTTAACTCCACGTTCGATTCTAAAATCGTATTGAATCCGTCCTGCGAACGTATTCGTGAATTAGCGGCAGCCTCCTGTTCGAGATCCAACTGCAACTGAACGGTATTCTTGTCAAATGCAGACACCACACCCGAGTTCCAGATGGAATCCCATGTCCGATGGAGACTGCCCTTCTCATAGTGCTCAGATATTAAGACCTGGAAGATAAGAACTCGCTCATAGAGCTTCACTAGGCTCTCCTCAAAATTCTTCATATTGACGTTGTGATAGCCGACTTGGGACTGCCGGATCTCGTGCTCATACACTAGCCCTCTGCTCATGACGATGACCACCTTACTGATATCTTCTATCGCAGCAGACGCGACCTTTGCTTTAGCCACGGGTATCTACAAATGGTAAACCACGTGCAGATGTCAGTTCGTCGGCCACGCGAGATAAGGGAAGGCAATCTGGAGAATGGAGGACCAGGACCCCGAGCCTAACCAAAGACACGTAGGCCTTGGGTCTTGGGGGTAGACGCTGAAAATAATAAATAGGTAGAGGTCTAACCACGCTCTAGGAGAAGTTATTAGAGTAAGTATATTACACTACTCACAACATGCAGTTTAGACATAGGAATAAGATGTCTAGGAAAAGAATGTAGCCTCACAGTAACTAGCAAGCCAGTGACACGTCATTGAAAACTTAAGTTATGTTTTACTATGTTATCGATTCTCCTTATATACATAGCCTTTTGCGTGTAATTCATACAAAAGGATTGAGGATACCGCATTCGGGCTTCAGATTCGTGTTTCAACGGGAGGCTTCTACATAGCTAGCATCACTTCAGCAGGCTCCATTATGCTAATAAAACATGACTTGACTTGACTTGACCCCCCTCGAATATAATTTCAGACCTATAATTTAGATCAAATACTGCGTTCTGAGGTGCTTGATAAAGCCCTTCAACTGAATACGTTATAAGATGCGTATTAAGACGCTTCACGATGCCTCGGGCTGTGGGCGACCACAACCCTCAACCTAGAAGCGATAGTATATCTGTCCGCTACTTCATTATGTACGTCCCTGGATCTGTGGACAGAATTCCTCAACAGCCGGTACCCCCCACTTCACCATCCACTCCGAACCCAAAACATCCTCAACTGACGCCCGGTCCTCCGGCTTGAAAACAAGCATCCGACGAAGCATATCCAGAATATCTCTCTTCTCCTCATCACCAAAATAAGGCATTTTATCTCTCCGTCGCGACGCCTGGACATGCAGCTCAAAGCTCTGCTCGAGAGACAGATAGATAAACCGATCTTTCTTCGGCACCCCCAATCTCTCAAAATACCCATGCCTTGCTTCCCACACCTCCCACCATGTAGGAGGCAACGGGCCAAGAATATCGATCTGCTGAGAGACCATATAATCTTGCGTAGCAAGTGTAGCGTCAAATAGCGAACGCATGCCAAAGATCGACCACATGGCGCAGGCAAGAGACCAGATGTCGGCGGAATAGGAGAGGGGTGTGGTAGGTTCGAAGTAGGCTTCGGGTGGTGCGACGGGAAGGGGAGTGTGGCAGTCTTCGCCGCGTCGTTGGTGTCCGGGACTGGAATCATTGGATGGAGAGAAGCTTTCGCCGAAGTCGCTGAGGAGGAGATGAGCTTCTTCAGGTGGTATTTCGTTCGCTCTTTTACCTAGCCAGACTGGCATAGTTCCGTGGGTTGGAACGCCAGGGGGGAGAGGCTGTCCGTCCAATCGTGTGATTGGTTCCGTGTAGGGCTCGCCGAATTTCGCGTAGAATTGGTCGACCGATAGTTGGTCGAAGCTAGAAGATAGACGGATTAGAATGTTGCCGAGGTGGAGATCTGGAATGTGGGTTTAGCGATTGCTGCTTATGACGGAATTCGCCCTTCGTGCACCTGGAAAGCAACCGGCGCCTGATACGTCTGACTTACCGGCGTGGACATAGCCTTGGGCATGAATACACGCAACAGCCAGAGCAAGCTGAGCAGCTAGGACACGAGCAGTTTCTAATTGGAAGTGACGGGAAAATATCGCTGCAGATACACTGCTCTGAGCGGGGGCAGTGACATAGCACTTGTGACGTCCATTCGGGCCCCTGATTTCAAAATGATCCAGAATTTTGGGTATCATCGAACGGCCTCGAGCGACTGTCGGGCAGTCATCTGTGAGAGAGCGCAAAACGTCGCTCTCGTGAGGAGAGGAATCTGCAGTGCCAACTTTGACAGCGACATAGGCTGCCCGTTGGGTATCACGTGAGAGCCAGATGGTCGAATACGCCCCGTGGCCCAGCTTGTGAATCACTTGGTACCGGTCATTGAGCATATCTCCCACGCGGATTGGATGATATCCTCCCGGTCGATATCGTTCCAGCCTTTCCACACCCTCGATAGGCTGGTATTCAAAGGCGAACGAGTCGTCAGTCAAGGAGGTCATGGTGGCCCTGAAGGTTATAGTAGGTAGCCGAGGCGGCTGCTGGGGCCAGCGGGAAAGTGGTCGAATCGATGGGAAAGAGCCTCCTTGGCAGAGAAAACGGAAGGCGCGGGACGAAAAAGCCGGTCGCCTCATGATTTGGCTACCAGAGGACGGATGTCAAGGCTAGAGATTCGGGGGTGACGATCATGGATCAAGTCAACCCGCCGGCGGCCACTATGGCAACGGTCATGTGACCGGGCCGTGGGTTTGGGGAGTCGAGGGATGACTGAAAGTTCATGGATCTAGTAGTACTACTTTTACAGAAACTGCTTTCCCCAGGATTCCCAAACGCTTCAAGCACTGGTTGCATTAGCCTATCAGACTGCAAGGGACAGGAAGCTTTACCCCAAGGCCATTCTGATTCGGTATGTACGCCAACCATATTGCAGTATCACAGTCCGTTCTGATTTAAGTCTTTTGGTGACGAACCAGATCCGTAGTCCATGCTACCACAAGCATCAATGGACGACGCCAAAAAGATCCCCTGGGATGGCATGTCACCCTCTGCTATAAAGACGAGACTCAGGTGGCCACGGGCACTCACGTTGCCTGTCATGGCTACGTGAAAGGGAAAACCAACCTGGAATTTGTGAGCTCTACGCACGCTGGAGAGAAGCCGGACACCTGGGAGAAAAGCAGTGGAAGTATTGTTTGGCCGTCTGTGGAGGAGCTCGAAGAAGCCCCGGAGATCGGATACGGACACTTTCCTGAAGACGACGATAAATGCTAGCGCGGGCCTCTGTACTCAAATGAACCCTTTCAGTCAGAATAACCTTGACAATTGTTATTTATGAACAGCGTGGAGCACCGGCGAACGAGAAGTGCTCAGCAGAGCACATGAGACTCCTGAAGAACACCCGAGCGGATATCCTGACATAGATACAATTTGCTTCCATCAGCTGTTCATGAAATGTGGTAGATAATATATGTCTCCCTTGGACAGGCCGATCATTAGCTAGACACCTTAGCACCGCGAGCACTTTTGTTCTAGGTACTGCAATGGCCGCAGCAGGAGAGATGGCTCAGCAAGATGGATTCGCTATAAATTTGGACCAAATTCTTCACCCTATTGGGCTATTATAGAAGTGATTCCATCATCTGGCCCATGTGATAAACACTACAGGACTGGGAGAGGTAATCTATCGTCTGCGAGATCGTAGTTCACTGCATCACCCTCGCAGAGAAAAATGCGTACTCGGACTGCGAAAATTACATGGAATTTCATCTCATATCTATCTTGGAATCTAGTGCGCTCAAGAGCATGGTATTGATCATTATAGCCATTAATATCGATTGCGCTAGGAGTTATGCTGGTAGGTAAATTTCCCGGCTGACTGTGATAGATCAAACACAAAAGACGTTACAACTCATTACTTACTACTTTGTAAAGTAATACACAACATACTGCGAGCTACCGATACATTCCCAGCAGTACGTTCCTTGGTACATCTCAACGAATCAATCAGAAGTCTTCTTTGGGTGGGGCAGCTGGATCACAGGCTTGATGATCTCTCTCTTTTCAAACCTCTCATATGCGCGCGGCACCTCATCCACACTGTGCAGGATCTCATCAATGACGAAGCTTGGCTTCGCCTTGCCACTCTCAATCATGTCCCGCAACGAGGGCTGCAGCCGGTGGATCTCCACCGTACCACTCTTAACGGAAAGCCCCTTTGCCCAGAGCTGCCCGATCAAGGATGATAACACACCTTGCTGGGGAGAAGCTAGTGGCACTCCTGGCGACGGACTAAGTTGCACATAGATTCCAATCAATCCGATACCACCGGTTGGTTCAGTTACCCGGATGCAATTATTCAAAACGATATTTTCTTGCGGTTCAAGCTTGTCATTGAGACAGTCGAGTCCCACACAGTCACAGCTGCATCGGACGCCGCGCGGTTCACGTGCCATAATCTGTGTGACGGGATCTTCTTTCGTGAAGTCGATGGGAATCGCTCCGATTGAGGCTGCTTTCTCCAGTCGAGCAGGAACGTAATCGACCGAGTATACCTTGCTTGCACCGCGGAGGAGGGCCGAGTAGGCACAGAGCAGGCCCACCGGGCCAGCGCCAAAGACCGCCACCGTGTCGCCAGGCTGAAAGTTGGCACAGTCCAGAGCGTACCAGCCAGTTGGGAAAATGTCCGCGAGAAGGATAAAGTCAAGGTCATGTTCTGTGCTTTGGGGAAGCTTGAAACACGAGGAATCCGCAAACGGAATGCGGATGTATTCCGCTATAGCAGTGGTCAGTATCTTCGACGTAGGGGGGTCAAATGATACCCACCCTGTGCGCCCTCGAGATGAGCTCCAAAGTCAGGACCGTAACCTTCTATATCAATGACGGTCCGGGGGCTGTATGTCAGGCAATAAGTCATTCGGCCGCGGAGACAGTTATCGCAGTAGCCGCAGCTGATAATCTCAATCAGGACGCGATCTCCGATCTTCAGGGACTTTAATCCGTCCCCTGCCTCCACGATAGTCCCAACCGCTTCATGACCCATAAGCCATGGCGGGTTCTTACTGCCGAGCCGACCGCGGTAGGTATGGAGGTCTGATCCGCAGATGGCGCTGGTTGTGATTTGGATGATAACATCATTCGGGTGCTGAATTTTGGGAACGGGCTTTTCTTGGACGGATACATGGAAAGGCTTGCCTTCCCAGACTGTAGCTTTCATGGTTTCCTTCTGAGTGGTTGACATTTTGAGTTGGTGGACAAGATGACTTGGTTGGGACAAAAATGATTTCCATCGGCCTTGACACTGCCACCTATTTATACCCGCAGGAACAGATAACTTAGATTGAAACTGACGTTCCAGATGCAACGCTGGATGCAGATTATACGAAGGCTTGCTATGCCACAAAGTTGGCTCGCCTGAAATCCTCGGTGCAACAGCCACTTTCGATTCTACGGAGCTGCTACAGACGAGACGCCTTAATGGAACATTGCCTATCCTGTCGACGTGTTGTCCAAAAGTGTGGTTTGCAGATTTAGGTGGCCCCGCGGGGGACGCCTTAGTGGTAACCAAGCACCATATTTCGTGCATGCCGAATATCCGAGTCGGAAGACCTTGTTTCCAGAACACTATGGGCCCTTCTATCAGACGGGTTTGTGCGTTCGGCTTCCAGCCCTGACAAACCTTCGTCGAGCCTGTTGCTTGCGGAAATGGAGAACAATGACTACCGGCATATCGGTATGGTATCAGGCCACCCATCGATCATCAGAATCTAGACTCCAGTACCTTACAATTATAGTGGTGGGTTTGGCCGGCGTGGCGTTGGTGAACCGTGGCTAGAAAAACCTTGATGAGATGACAGGCGATCAACCGAGACTCTGCTCGATTGGGAATCATGTGGTTTGGGATTATGTCGATTAGCTGATAATGCTTCTGATTATCCGACGCTTATCTGAGCCTAAATATAATGAATACGTCCGACTATAGGAGAGGTGGTCATGGACGATCGGCAACGACTAGTGACGCGCGATTCAGCTCCGCCTCTCAGCTCGGGCACTAAAGGAAACTGTTTCTGGGTCCAAACATGGGGCATCTGTATGATGCACCAATAGCAGTCAGCACTTAAGAAAGCTCGCTCGTCAACAAGGATTCGAGCTGAGGGGTTGTTCATGAGTCGGGTTCACCGAAAGCGGGGGATGATCAACGCCTCGAATTCGGATAACCCGCTCTCCTTGCTATGCTACGTGGTGATCTGGTAAGTATAGTTTGTAGCCTTGTTTATCTATGTTTCCATAACATTCCGATGCATACAAGAGTGATATAGCAAGAGTTGCCAACTCGGTGGAAGACCGAGTCATTAGGCGGATAAATGCGCCCGCCTGGCTGCATTACTGACTCGAGCGGCAGCCGCGCCGCAGCTTCCTTGCATAAGCGTCACGACTGATATGCGCTCGGAGGATATGGGCCCTTTTGCATATTGTCCGGATAAATGTTTCCATTCTTTATATGGTCCGAGGTTACCCCTCTATCCAGCTACCTTTGCTCCCTTCACTGATCTTGCAGCAGACAACCACACAATGTCTCTCTTCACGTGGCTAAGCATAGGTGTATTTGCCTACTATGCTATCCGAAGCATCTACCGACTCTATTTCCACCCTCTGGCTAAGATCCCCGGCCCCAAGCTAGCAGCACTAACCAGTGGCTACGAGTTCTACTTTAACGTCATCAAAGGTGGCATGTACATATGGGAAATCGAGCGCTTGCACAAGATCTATGGTGCGTCTACGCTGCTGTCTGACTCTAGACAGTGCTACAATTTGCCGATCAGACTAAATCATGATCAGCCTTATGTCCTCACTAACCTGAACAGGTCCAATCATCCGCGTCAATCCACGCGAAGTCCACATCAACGACCCAGAATACTACGACGAGATCTACACCTCGCGCGCTCGCCGTCGAGAAAAAGACCCCATCCAAGTGGCCCAGTTCGGTCTCGATGGCTCCAGCTTTTCGAGCATCACGCCCGAAGAACACCGACAGCGGCGGGTGCACCTCGACAAATTCTTCTCGAAACAAGCGATCGCCAACATTGAACACCTGATCCAGGATAGCCTGGATAAGATTATCGAGAATCTCAAAGACGCATATCAAACGCACCGGGTGGTGAATCTCGATTCTGGTTTCGCAGGCTTAACAGCCGACGTGATCTATCAGTATACTTTTGGATTTAATCCAGGTAATCTGGACCATGAAGGATTCAATCAGAATGTGAGAGATGGAGCCAATGCCCTCCTTCAGAGCTCGCATGTTCTGTATTTCTTTCCGATTTTGAACACCATCATGGGTTGGTTGCCGCTGGGGGTGTTGCGTCGGGTGAATGAGTCTGCATATGTATTGGCGATTCAGAAGTCGGATCTGTATTCACGAGGTGCGGCGGCGTTGGAGAGGAACCGCGACCGTGTGGAGGATAAAACAGCCAGTAACCGCAAAGGCGCGATTCTGGATGCTCTTTCAGGACCCAATATTCCGGAACACTTGCGGACGCCTGAACGGCTCATGAATGAGGGGCATAGTCTGTCCATTGCGGGGACGGAGACAACGGCGCGGTCACTGGCTGTGGGGTCTTATTACTTGCTTACGATAGAACATGTGAGGACGAAGCTGAGAGAGGAGTTGAAGAGTCTGATGCCGACCCCGGAGACTCGAGTGACTTGGGCGGAGTTGGAGAAATTGCCTTATATGGTGAGTATGCATATACTTTCCGTGACTCAAGCTAATATCGTAGTGCGGTGTCGTCAATGAGACACTGCGTCTCTCCACCGGCATCTCATCTCGAATTCCTAGAATCGCTCCTACCGAGACACTCGTGTACAAAAACTATGTTATACCCCCGGGTGTGAGTACTTTCCAGCTGTGGTTGCAGCAGACTAATATCCACAGACTCCTCTCAGCCACATGCATTACTTCATTCTCATGGACCCGAACATCTTCCCAAATCCGCACGTCTTTGATCCGGAGCGCTGGATCCGAGCGGCTGCCAAGGGGGAGCGATTGGATCGGTATTTGGTGAACTTTACCCGAGGCCCTCGGATCTGTCTAGGCAGGCAGTATGATATCCATAACTCCAGGCGATGGTTGATCGTGCTAATGGGTATAGTTTGGCTTATGCAGAGCTGTTTGTGGTTCTTGCCACGCTTATCCGCCGGTTCGATATGGAATTGTATGAGACGACCAAGGCGAACATTGACTTTGTGCGTGATTTTGCCACGCCTTATCCGGAGAAGGGGAATTTGAGTGTGCGGACGGTTGTTACGGGGGTGATAAGGGATTGAGACTGTGAGAGCATTGAAATGCTGGATGTGGTACCTGGAATAAACCCTAGACCTCCTTCCGAACGTACAAGAGGAAAACCTTTGGTGATGCAGCATACTAGTGATCTATAACTATATCTATCTCAACCACTGACCTATCGAACCCGAGTAAACCCCACACCGTAGGCTTCTTATCCCAGAACCACCAGATGCCTTGTTCTTCCCACCGCGGCAATTCCACCCCCGGGGGAATCGACAAATCATACCTCCACAGCAACCGAGCCAAAATCAACCTCAACTCCAACCACGCCAGATTCTGCCCGGGACAATTATGCGGCCCCAGTGAGAACGGATTGAACGCACTCTTGACATCCCCCTCAAACCTCCTCCCCCGTTCTTCTCCCAACCACCGTTCCGGCGCAAACGCATCCGGCTCCCCGAAATTGCTCTCCGACCGATAACACGCCCACTGACACACCGACACCGTCGTACCCCCCGGGACAAACTCCCCGGCAATCACGGCGCCTCCGTCGGGCACCACCCTGCGCATCCCATCCGGAATGGTCGGACACAGCCTCATGCCTTCATTCACCACCGCATTCAGATAGGGCAGCCCCTTCACGGCCATTCCTGTAATTTCCTCCTCTGACTGGAACCTCCTCAACTCCCCCACCAACCGCGACATCTTCTCCGGCTCCCGCAGTAGATAATTCACCGTCCCCGTCACCACCGTCGTCACGGACTCACTCCCCGCCGCAACAATCAACATGGCATTGACCTCGATTTCCTCTCGACTCATCCCCTTCATCATGATACCTACCAAATCACCCCCATCACCACCATCCACCCGTTCTCTCACCCGCTCCTCCGTAACTCGCCACATCTCCATAACCCCCCGCAGCGCCTCTTTCGGTGTAATCTTCATCACCAACCAATACATAAAAGGATAATACTTCAACGCACCCACCACCACGGCCCCTTTGAACTGCTGAACAGTCTGAATCCACGAATGATATCTCAATCCCTCTAAACATCCGAATGATCGGCCCCAGGTGATATCCCCGATGATGTCGAAGGCGAGGTAGTTGATCCATTCCACGATATCAACCTCTACATGTCCCCTCCCTTTGCCCCTTTCCCCCTGGGTTATTTGGTGCTCGAGTTTGGTGAGTAGCAGGGTGATGTATTTCTGGACCGTTCTCTCCTGATATGCAACAGCGGTGGGGGAGAACCCCGGCGCGAGGATCTTTCGGAAGGTTGTGTGTTGGGGTTCTGAGCAGGCGATGAGGTTGGGGGCAGTTTTGCCGGGGGGTTGGTCTTTTAGTTGGTCGGGGCGGGGGAAGATGGTGGATGGGGAGGAGGGGGTGTAGATGTCGCGCCAGGCGGCGGGGGAGGTGAAGGAGAGTTCGTTGGGCGCGGTGCGGATGATGGGGCCGTGGGTGGTGTGCAGGGTATGGAGGGTGTGGGGGAGGTGGCCGCGGGTCATGCAGAGGAGGGAGGGGAGGGGGAAGAGACGCCAGGGGAGGGGGCCGGGGTATTTGGAGAGGGTGTGGATGGTTAGGGTGTAGATGGTGTGGAGGGTTAGGTACTGTGTTGGGGGGTTAGTATGGGTTGTATGGGGGGGAGGAGAGGGCTTACGATGAGGGTGAGGGAGAGGAGGATGACGGAGGTGGTGAGGTCGAGTAACATGGTGATAGATAGTATTAATGGAGATGAATGAAAGAGTGTGGATGAAGGAGAAAGGTGGTGTAGGTATTTATGAGTTACGATGGACTCCTTTGTTTTGGACTGATCTGCCGATTGGTAATAGCATTATGAGTAGTGTGGTATGAATGTAAGATTTTAGGGCGCCTCAGGGCTAGTTATTGCACGAATAGGTGCTAGATGCCCTGATTGTGTCCAACTGGAATGTAGCACTGGCCATGTTACAAGTATCCCTATCAGAGGATTGTAAAAAAAAGCGATGCACCCAATGAAGCACTGGAGCTGGTGAAATAAGACAACCCACATCACCCCCATTGTGGGGATAAGCAGACCCGCAGTGGAATCCGTCTATTCTAATTCGTCAGTCCGGTTACTACCACGTGGTTGAGATGGACTACACCAGATACGGTCTAGATCATGCGATGCTATAACTACTGTGTACTCTATGCTGAGTTATCACTATGACTGTCAGTCAACTCAGACGAGGCTGAACACTCCCTATAAAGCTGGAACATCGCCTGACAATCTCAATCATACATCTCATCCAACGCATACTTCAATCACCGACCATGTCCCTCAAACCAATCAAGGTCTACTGGCGAAGTAAGCCCCCATCACACTTCATATCCATATTCTAACAATCCAGACCACGTCCCCAACCCCGCCAAAGTCCTCATCATCCTGGAAGAGCTCGACCTCCCCTACGAAACCTCCTGGGTGGAACTCGACGACCTCAAACAAAAGCCCTTTACCGATGTAAACCCTAACGGACGGGTACCCGGTAATCCCCCCATCCTCACCCCCCGGACATCCCCCTAATCCTTCCCCAGCAATAACCGACCCAAACACCAACATCACCATTTGGGAATCCGGCGCCATTGTCCAGGTATGTCCCGTCTCACTTTCCACCTACTCCTAACTTCCACCTACCCCTAACCAATCATATGGAATAGTACCTAATCGACACCTACGACACCACCCACAAACTCACCTACGCCACCCTCCCCGAGAAATACCAACTACTCCAATACTCCTACTTTCAAGCCTCCGGTCAGGGCCCATACTTTGGTCAGGCGGCGTGGTATCCCCTCCCCCCCCTCCTTCCTCCCACCCCTTTCCCCAACAGTCACTGAAAACCTATCTATAAAACATAAGGTTCAACCTCTTCCACCAAACCATGTACACCGACTCCCCCGAATCCGCAAAAGTGCGATACGGCGCCGAAGTCAAGCGCATCGCACACGTCCTCAACACCATCCTCAGTGACCGGGACTGGCTAGTGGGTGAGAAATGCACGTACGCCGATTTGGCGTTTGTGATGTGGAATCTCCAGATAGAGTTTTTTATGAAGGATAGGACCGGGGAGGAGGCGTGGAGGAAGGAGGAGTTTCCGGCTTTTGTGGAGTGGCAGGGGAGGATGATGGGGAGGGAGGCGGTTCAGAGGGTGGTTGGGGTGTTGGGGGAGAGGGTGGTTAGGAGGATGGTATGATACGATGTTTGTGTTTGCATGGTTCCATCTGGTTTACTGGCTAGACTGTCACATGACTAAGATGGTCTGGATGAGGCGGTTGTAACCACCTAGATCATGAATGATATATCCGCCGCAGCTCAACCTTATATGAATTGGCGCGTACCATTCTGCTGCTACGGTCTAGCCATGGTTACTCCAGAGGGTCTCGGGGCGTATATATACGTTTCCCTCTTCCGCGTATTATCTCTTCCATTTCTGCAACTTCTCTTTCCGGCATAAGCAACATGGGTGAGCCTCAGTACAACCAGTCAACCGTCGACATCGACCACATTGCTGGCGGAATGTAAGTTGTGCATTTCAGACAGACAGCCTGCTGAATGTTATAGCCTACCGGATTCGCTGCCATTTCGACAGCCGTCGACCTAGGTATCTTTCGCCACTTGGCAGAGACCAAACAGCCCAAGTCTGTCTGAGTTGGCGCGTGCTACTGGGGCGGACCTTATCCTACTAGGTACGTGAACCACCTTCAGATTTCATTCACTATAACTCCTCGGGACGCATCATGAAACACCTCGGAGCCATCAATCTAACAGGCAGTAGGCTCTCGCGCATACTACCTCCACTCCATCCTCCACGACTGGCCGGACGACGTCTGCCATCAGATCCTCGCCCCGCTCAAAGCAGCCATGGTGCCAGGAATCAGTCGGTTATTGACCGAAGCAGGTTTTCGCGTGGTGAAGATCTGGACCGCGGATCGGTGGTCGGAGAGTTTGATTGAGTATGTGGTGTAGCCTGGTTGCGGATATATATATTGCAGCAATCCAGTACCCTGAGCGCGTTAACGTCTAGAATGGAGTTCAAATTATCTCCAGACGTCTCGAGGACCTACCAATTTATTTATATCCCAGAATTTAAATAAATTTCATTTCCACCATTACAATAAGTCCCTAACTACATTAATCCCCTGAGCCATTAACCCCACCCATTCATCTTGATCAGTCCTCTTGTACTGTAATAGCAGCCCCGGCACCAACGAGTCGTCTCGGTGGCGCAATTGGTAAGCTTGCCCTTCCACAACACACATCATGACTCAGTTACTAATTCAATATAACAGGTTAGCGCGTACGACTGTTAATCGTGAGGTTGAGAGTTCGATCCTCTCCCGGGACGTTTCTTTTTTTTTTTTATTTTTTTTTCTTTTTGCCATTTTCCCTTAATGGGTTGGTTAGCCGCGGCTAAGGAAATCCTTTCCTGAGCCTGTTCGTATTTATTCCCCTCTTTTTCTTATCCTTCTCACTATCAGGTCTACAGGCATGGCTATCTCCTGGGAATATTCAGACTAGAAAAGTAGCTATGTTAAAGCAATATCGGAAAGAAGTAGTCCTCACTATAACCAAAATAAATTCATGCCCTGTAATCATATCTTACAACTGAGAAAACAATTATGAAGCTACTAACTATCTAGCTTGACCACCAATCCAGATTTCCATCATATACAACCTCCCGCATGTAAAAGATACAGATAACCACAACCAGCAACCTCCGAACCCACCACCACACCACCAACCCCCTTCATCTCTCGTATGGTCTACGGAGATACCCATCATATACCTTTTCAATTGTATCCCGAAACAACTCATCAACTACCATCTTTCAAGCCCCTCACCTCACAAACAATCGCATTGCTGAGCTGAATGCATCCCTCGGCAAGATTTTCAATGGATCATTGTCTTGTGACTAGGATGAATCATGGAGTTGGTGTGTCTTGCCACGATGTTTTCATGGGGATGGTTATAGAACTGGACTAGGACCTTTTGTAAAATGTCGTAATATATATGCTAACTATTGGGTTAAGTCCCTCTTCATCGAATTTATTACTCCGGAGATAGATCCTTGAAAATAGATGGTTTAGGACACTGCTGTATGTATGATGCTGTTGTTATGTATGATATATGCGAGTGGAAGATTCTGAAGAATGTGAATGTGAATGTGAGTATGTCCCTCATGCTTATGGACTGGGGTTTTGTGTGAGATCGGTGGTATTATTGCAGGTCAGTGTCCGTGTCATGATTTATACAGCGGCATAAGAGGCTTCCAATCTTATCACCATCATGACAACCGGTACCAGCGGGGTTTCCACTTCATGATGAGCTTGATATTTGCAACTAAGTACAGGCGAAAGACTGTGGTTGTTATTCGTGGAAATGATGCAGTCGACGCCAGGTGAGTTTTATGGGTAGTGATGGTCTCGGAGTGGTACGACTCATGCCGAGGAGGGTATGCAAGTGTAATGTCTCATGTTTGGTACACTGGTAGAGTATCTGTGAGCTGGTTTGCCGGGACGTAAAGTATTTGAACCCCCATGCTGAAATCTTGTCTGTTTGGGGTTACTGGTCGTTTGGTCGATGGGTACAGCCGGGGATGATTTTGAGTGAGTTACTGAGTTAGTAGCCTCAATAGATTCTATAATCAAAGAATGTCTGATCGTATCTGGAGTATAATGATAGTGGATAATGGATAACAGGCATAGATGGTGCATCTTTGCCAGCACCGCTACATGGCAGTTTGTGCGATCTGTAGGGGGGTTTTTTTTTGTCTTGAACTTAGTGCCTAAGCGCCCATAATTTGCCGGAGGTCCCATCTGGATTCCTTGCTGCTTTGAAGATAGGCTAGGTCCGTTTCGCCCTGACTCTCTGTTGATGTATGTTGTCACGGTGCCTGCCTGCCTGCCTACCTGAACCCGTGTGGTTGCCTGAATCCTGCCTGAATCCTGCCTGAATCCTGTTCCTGAATACCCTTATATAGCGTGCGCAGTGTAAAGCCATTGGCTTTACATCCTAGTCCTTTTGCTGATAGTGCAGCGGGAAGTACCTGGAATGCGCACCCAGTATGCCCCGTGACATATGTCTAATTAGTAAAATGAAGCGGAGGAAGTTCCAGCCGTGTTTGTATAATGCTCTGGGTTCACGTAAATTGTTAGAGGCGATGTCAACTAGTTCTTTTTTCCTGACCACTGTGTTGCCTTAATTCATGAGACAATCATGCTCAGTCCAACTTTAACAACGCAGGTTGATTTCGAGAAACTCCACCGATCTCTGATGAATCGTGGTGTGTTAGTAATAATGGTTAAGGGGCAGGTTATTTCATTTTACAGTCGTGTTACTGTTATGTTAATTGTATGGCTGTTGAAAATGCTGTTGAAAATGCTGTTGAATATGCTGTTGAATATGCTGTTGTTTGCCGTTGTTTGCTGAATTGTTGTTTAGAATGCCTTCTACATATCGTGTTTTGTATTCTAGACCTGCATTCGCAGCCTGGTGTTGTTAGTAGGTTTCTGGTTATCCGATATCTGCGTTGTAATGTGAACCGCCGGTCTCCATCCACTTTCTCTATGGAAGCATGGCCGGGGAGCTCCATTAGTGTCTGTGGTGTCTATGTACCCTGCTCGTCGATTTACACATGTAGCATGGGAGAACTCGATTATGGTATGACCACTAGTGTAGCGGACCATCCCCTTTCCACAGGGTATATGGTGTTCGGTATGTGCGATAGCGCGGTTGATGGTCCATTAATCGCTGCCTACCTTGTAAATGATTAGTGTTGATTTTCAAGTGATAGTAGCGACGATAAGTTGAGTAGAATAGCAATAGGAGCTGACTTACCAGTTGTGCCATACCACGTCCTTCTATCACAACATTAGGGATGATGTTGTAATTGGAGGACTGACCCTGTTGCTTTGGCTTCCGATATTGTAGTATCTTTTACAAGTATGTTGATTCGGCGGGAGTATGACATATGTAGAAGAGAAGTAGATCTTCGAAAGGTCAGGGGTTTAAAATAATACTTCTGTAGGAAAAATAGTGACAATAATATTCACCCGGATATTCAATTCATACAATGTAGGTAATATTGAACAAGATCAGGGAATGAAATCAACTTCAATGCCAATCTAGACCAATCATGTGCATCTAACCATAGCGGCTAGATCATGCTAAATTTAGCACATCCAATCCAATCAAAAGCTGAATCGCTGTCAGAACGCGGCATCCGAATCCCGACGCTTGGTCCAGCCATGGGGCCACCCAGCCTCCCGCGAATTCACCTCGTTGCCTAGACCACAATTGTACCTGTAAATTTGTACACTTGACCAACACCACAATGCAGAGTATCAGCAATTTCCTCCCAGAGAAGCATCCAATCCTCTCGTCCCGACAGATCGAGGGCTTAATTGCTGCCGGACAGCATATTCTCATCATCCATCAGAAGGTGCTACGTGTCGACTCGTGGATTCCGTACCATCCCGGCGGTCATAAGCCGATTCAGCATCTGGTCGGCAAGGATGCTACGGATGAATTCACCGTGTAGGTATACTCACTCCCGCATAGTGCATCGAGACTAATTTGAGCAGGTTCCATTCCGAAGAAACGCAGAAATTGATAGATCGGTATCAGATCGGTCGGATTGAGGGCCGATGGCGGAATTTGGTGCCTCCTATTCAGGGTGGTCAGTTCAGACCATATGATGAGAACATACCCTCAGATGGGACGAAAGAGTCCACTATCCTCAATGGACAGAATACAGATCAAGATAATCGTCTCGATCCCGTGCTTGCAGCAGACCTCAACAGCACCGAAGCAATGACCTTCCTAGACAGCGAGACCAAGAAAGAAATCAGCCTCACCCTAACTCAATACCCCCCGTTGGATGAAATCACGCAAGGCGACATCATCCACAAATACCACCGTCTCCACGAGCAAATCCAAGCCGAAGGATTGTACAACTGCAACTACATCGCCTACGCCAAAGAATTCACCCGCTGCTCCCTCATCTTCACCACCATGCTCTTCTTCCTCCACATCGGCTGGTACTGCACCAGCGCCCTCTTCCTCGGCTTCTTCTGGTCCCAACTCGTCTTCGCCGCCCACGACGCCGGCCACATGGCCATCACCCACAACTTCACCATCGACAGTCTTATCGGCATGACCATCGCCGCCCCCATCGGCGGCCTCTCCCTCGGCTGGTGGAAACGCACCCACAACGTCCACCACACCGTCACCAACCTCCCCGAACACGACCCAGATAACCAACACCTCCCCTTCCTCGCCGTGAACCACCGCTTCCTGGGGAACCTCTTCTCCAGCTACCACGAGCGTCTGATGCCGTACACCAAAGCCGCCCGCTGCCTCGTCCCCTACCAAGCCTACCTCTACTACCCGGTCCTCATGTTCGGCCGCTTCAACCTCTACATCCAATCCTGGATCTTCCTCCTCCACGGCCAAGGACCCCGCAAGGGTCTCGCCTGGTGGCACCGCTGGTACGAAATCATCGGCAACATCCTCTTCTGGACCTGGTTCGGCTACGGCATCGTCTACCGCTGCATCCCCACCGCCTGGGACCGCTTCGTCTTCGTAATGATCAGCCACATGGTCACCATGCCATTACACGTGCAATTCACCCTCTCCCACTTCGCCATGTCAACCATGGACCTCGGGCCCAGCGAATCCTTCGCGCAACGCATGCTCCGAACAACCATGGACGTGGACTGCCCTGAATGGTTGGATTTCATTCATGGCGGGTTGCAGTTCCAGGCCATTCATCATTTGTTTCCCCGCGTGCCGAGACATAATCTTCGGAGGACGCAGAAATTGGTCCTGGAGTTTTGTCGCGAGGTGGGTATTCCGTATGCGTTGTATGGGTTTGTTAGTGGCAATCGGAAGGTCGTGGGGAGTTTGGCCGAGGTTAGTCGCCAGGCGGCGATTTTAGCGCAGTGTCAGAGGACGATCGCGCGGAGGGGGGATTTCATTCATGGGCATTGATGATGCCAGAGGGGTTGGGATTATGGGTGTTGATGGGGAGCTGTGGGAATGGAATTGGTGCGGGTGGATCGAAATATGAAGAGATCGAAGATAGTGTGCTGGTCAGGGACTGCGGAAGTAGTCAGTATCAAGCTGAGCTAAGAACAAAGTCTTCCATATGAGTATAAAACAGAATCACTTCTCTCACAGGTAGTATGGCCATCGTAGACATCTCTGGTGATACCACGAGTACAGGGGAGTGGGAGGGTAGGTACTTGGTCGTCCCAACAGTTATGAACGCTGATCGACCGGCTGGGCTCCCGACGGCACCATGGAGGATGGAACAAAGTACGATAACGCGGAAATTCCAGCCAATCAATTGATTGTGAAGGGAGGCGCAATTTGGTGGCGTTTCAGGATCATGCCCATTGGGTGATGTTGGAAACCTCGGAGATTACGACTAGGCCTAAACAAGGCTGAAAACCGTCGCTCTACATGGCCTGGCTGAATGATTAGCGGTAGAATGCGCTACTGCTAAGCGAAGTAATTTATCAACCTTTTGACTAGACTAGGATATCAGCCAATGAGAAATATCTCCGCCCCGGTTTCTGTCCCTTTTCTATTGTTTTCTATAGCTCTTCCCATGTTCTTCCCATACTTTTACTCCGTCCTATTTTTTTATTATTCTTCTTAGCACCCATATCCTCATTTTCTTATTGATATTACTCGTCTTTTTATCGTCTTTATCTCTTTGATCATTTCCCATCACTTCTACTGATTTCAATACTGTTCCACGTGGCTATTTGACCCGGCCCGCTTCCTTCCAGGTCAATCAATGCCTCTGTTAGCGGGCACCTTTAAGAACGGATACTAGGATCGGATTGACTACCCATCGTTACAAACTGAACTCGTCATGTCATGCTACACGGGAACAGAACTCACAAAGCCGATTCCGCTGTATCAAGCTAGTAGGGTTACATTCCAAGGGCTATGTCAATCGGTGATCAATCATCAGCATCTGGCTGAATCTGACGCCTCAAAACTCCTCATCGGATGTCGAGTCATGTCCGTCATGAATGTTGATTATTGGGACTCGTCTAGGAGGCTGGGACAGCACTAGCAGGGGCAATAAACTTTTCTCGATTTCCGATTAGGGTCTGTTGCAGAGGTTTCCTGGTTACAGAGCGAGGCATCCGGAGATCCAAGAAGGCTGGACCGCTCGAGCCCAGCGATGTACCTGAAGCATCATGTGCCCCGCTGTGACTCAGGAATTAGCTTCCCTTTCCTCGAGGCGAAGTCGCCCGGGGGATCACCGAGCGGCCAGCCTCGCCCACTGACAAGGCTGCCTAGCTGCAATCGCTAATCTGCAGATTCTCGGCCCGTTCTCCCAACCTGGAATTTTCGTTGTGGACAACGAAATTACCCAAACCAGAACTACATGCATAAGGTAGGAACGATTGAGAGGGAATGGTACATTCTGCGCAGAAAAGCGCCCCGAATTACGGGAAACGTGCATAGGCAGATGACTTTGACGGTGTAGTATTCCGACCATCGGCCCCGATAGAGATGCCTTCGGGGAATCTCCAATTTTGATGCGCTTTGGCCGCGAGTCGAGCAGCTGGAACCACCTATCTACCCCTGTCAAAATCAGCGGTGTACCTGATCTACCCCTCGAAACAGCCAATTAAGGTCTGGCGACCGGCTTTAGCTGTTTGATACATCATTTTCTCATCTGTCTGGCTAGCTTGAGCTCCCCTAATGTTCCCAGAAGCTATAAAAAGGCGATGTCACTCGTTGCCCCAATGTGTTTTTCTCATCACCATCATCATCCTCATCGCTTGGAATATGGGTTGGCCCTCATCTCGAGCAAGCAACTTTCTGAGCATGTTTCTTACCATTCCTGTGGCTCTTGAGGCAATCATACATATCAACCGGCCATTGCAAGATTTCTTTAAGTCCTCTGATGGTATTGCTTCCTTATGTCTGAGCGACCGCGTGGACTGACATGTTAAACAGAATTCCGAAACAGACCCCAGCCGGGTAACGTGGAAATTAAATGCAGTGGCAATTTCAATTCTCCGATCCAAATCTCAGGGCGTGAGTAAACATGCCGGAGAGAAGATTGGGTTTTGCTAATGGCAACAGCGTTCTCCCACTCAGAGCGCATCAGCCATGAGAGGTCTTTGCAATCTTCTGCTGAACCATGAGACTGGTTCAATTTATCATTAAGGCAAGACTGTCTTACTTCAGTCTGAAAGCAAAGGGGTCTACGCATTGTGAGACTAGTGTACATTACGCCGGCGTTGTGTTGTGAAATTCTTTCATTTTGGAAGGAGACTCAGTGAGTGAATTGCTTAAAGTTGCAGTCAGCTTACAGAGGAACATTTCCATGATTGCGTAACTTTGATCTAGTTTGAGATAATCCACACTCAAGTTTATCTATACCTTTCCCTCCATATTCTATTCAGTTCATCATAAGGACCTTTAAAACTAATATCCTTACAATATCACAGCATACCAAAGAGATATCATAGGATGTAGCCTCTGATAAGGGCGTTGTTACATTATTTTCGAAGCGCGCTAGCGCTGAGCAGGTCTAGGTTCGCTCCTAGTATTAGGCCTAATTACAGCCCCTAGGCTTCTTATTGATCCATGAAATTCATCTTTAAACTTTCTGATTGGTTTTTATCTTCCACAGATAACGTGACCAACTGTCTGTGGACTTCCCAGGAGCTTTTTCTACATCATGAGTCGTCAAACAGACATCATCTGCAGAAAATTGGCCGATTGGCTATTACTAGCTTCACGGAGTCGAGCAACAAATGGATGCGGTGTGGCACGACTATGTGGCTGACTGATAGTGTGGCTGCAGTAACTCCTTGAAGGCCGACGGCCACTTGCCACGCCATCTTCGTTCTGGAACCATTCTGATCCCTGCCTGCGCGTCTTAAGCCCCAGTACCCTGCACCGGTGTCTGGCGAGTCTACGCGATGGTTCTCTGCAGCTGTGGCAAGTACTGTGACTTGCAGAGTGGCCACACCATGAAAAAATCTCAGCTTATCCAAATTCCCTCGCACTTTTCCAACCGCATCCCGCGGAGTTGAGCATTTGGTAAAAATAATCAGTGGCTACCTCCATGGCTGCCAGTTCTTTGTTTGCAGATTCCATCCGGATGTATCGCTAATGGTATCCATTCCTGTGCCGTATATCGGACAACATCCTGCTACTCACTGCTGCCAGGATGAGCACGTGCTCAGTGCACTCGCACATCAGCCCTACCAAGTTTTCCGTCCACGTGCCGCCCGACGGACACCCGCCATGCCTATCAGTCCACTGGGAGATCCGTACGAAGCGTATTCCTGAGTCCTAAGCACCGGCCGAGCACCAGTCAAAGAATGCTTGGTATCAACGTGGAGGAAAGGACGCGCCTCATAAGCAACAACACGGGATCCATGGGTCCGGGCACGTGGAATTGTGGGCTGCTTTGATTGGCTCGGCCCACTGAGCTTGTTCACATCCACCAATCACATCGGCTACTGATAACAAGGATTGATGCCCGTGGCTGCCAACCGCTGATAACCACTGATTGGTCGGTGCGGTTGCAGTCGCATGCAACATCTTGGCCAGGCCGGTTTAAATCTGCCCGCGTGCCCTGCTGCAGGAGTTTTCAATCCATCCCATTGCTCTTGTGTGTCATCGCAATGTCGACGGAAAATTCGTGGGAAGTTTCCCAGCCTAAGGATGTCGGCGCCCTGCAGACTCGTGTCCAGGCCGTCGATGCCGAGGCTCCTGAGGCCCGCAAGCGGCAGAGTCTCTCGGATTATCTGACTATCGTGAGTATGCTGGCTGCTGGCATAGGTTAATTTCTGACATTATCAGGTCGCTAGTGGATTTGCTATGATCAGTGATGGCTATCAGAATAACCTCATGTTAATACCCCGCCCCCGATAGCCATGCGCTGCTAATGTAATTAGGACAATGGCCAACGTTCTCCTCAAGGCGGAATACCCCAAGCAATACGTCTCGGCTGTCTCCACGCGCGTATCTAATGCCTTGCTTGTTGGGGAGATTATCGGTCAGATTGTCATTGGGTATGTCAGCATTTCTTTTCTCGAATTCTGCTAACATCGCAGTCTTACCTGTGACTACATCGGTCGTAAAGCAGCCATGGTCTTCACCACCATGATGATTGTCATCGGCGGTATCCTAGCCACTGCATCTCACGGTGTCACAATCGAAGGCATGTTCTGGATGTTGACAGTGTCCCGTGGTATTATCGGTTTCGGTAAGAACCTGCACCTCCCACATCTATCCGTAAATCTAACCTGTCAGGTACCGGCGGTGAATACCCTGCCTCCTCCGTCTCCGCATCCGAAACGGCCAACGACTTGGCTCTGGAGAAGCGCGGCCCCGCCTTTATCATGGTAACCAACTTCCCACTATCCTTCGGTGGTCCGTTTGCGGTTTTCGTTTTCCTTATCGTCTTCTCCGCCTGCCACCAATCACACTACAGCACCGTGTGGCGCGTCTGCTTCGGCATCGGCTGCATCTGGCCGCTATCCGTGTTCTACTTCCGGTGGCGCATGCTTAACTCGGCTCTGTACCGCCGTGGCGCCATCAAAAAGCAAGTTCCTTACGGTTTGGTCATCCGGTACTACTGGAAATCTCTCATCGGCACATGCGGTGCCTGGTTCCTCTACGGTAGCCCCCACCGCTTCCCCTGTTTTTATCAACGCTAAGATTTGCATAGACTTCGTCACCTTCCCCAACGGCGTCTTCTCCGCCACCATCATCTCCTCCGTGGTCGGAGACTCCTCAATCCTCCGCACGGGCGAATGGCAACTCCTCCTCGGCGCCATCTCCCTCCCGGGTGTCTTCCTCGGCGCTCTGCTCTGCAACAAACTCGGACGCAAGAACGTCATGATGCTCGGCTTCGGCGGATATCTCATCTTTGGCCTAATCATCGGCTGCGCCTATGAGAAAATCACCAAAATCATCCCCCTCTTCGTCGTCTTCTACGGCCTGATGCAGAGCTCGGGTAACTTCGGGCCTGGCAATATGCTGGGCTTGCTATCCTCGGAGCTATATGCCACTGGCGTCCGGGGTACCTGTTACGGGTTATCCGCGGCGGTGGGTAAAGCGGGTGGAGCGATCGGGACGCAGGCGTTCACGCCTATCGAGAATAACCTTGGCAAGCGGTGGACGTTCATCATTGCGGCGATTTGTGGGATTGTGGGCATTGCGGTGACGTATTTCTTCGTGGATGATATCTCGGGCGAGGATTTGAGGATTCGCGATGAGAAGTTCCGGGCGTATTTGGTGTCGAAGGGGTGGGATGGGAATATGGGCGAGGATGATATGCAGGCGTTGGCGGATGAGGGGATTCCCGAGTCGTTGAGGGAGAAGTAATTGCCTCTGTTGGTTTGATCGTTATGAGTGGTATGTTAGTGGTATGGATATTAATGTTAATGAATGATAGGTATTGATTGAATACGAGTATGGGATAGGTGCTACGCGGCGGAAATGATCCCCGCAGACGCGTTGAACCCACGATAACAGCGCGTAGATGATAACAACCCAACTAATATCCCTGAATACTACCCACCATCATTGGGAATCCGATGATTATTGGCCAGAAAATCATTTCCGCGGCCCCTTCGGGGAGACAGTCCCCCTGGCATGTACGGTAAAACATCTGTGGCTACCTCCCGCCTGCCTCAGGCCCACTTAACAGACAGCCAAGCATAGCAGACTGTCGACCTTATCTTGATCGGATAGAACAACATGAGTCACGGTTTCTGGTTGACATGTTAGTCTGGATTTTACGTGTTGATTGGTCAGTGTCGCATGCTACCTGCCACCGGTTTATCGAACTCGAAGATCGTAGCTTGTTCACTATCCAGGGAGTAGATATGTGAAGCGTTACACAAGGGCGTGTAGGTTCATATAAAGCCTTCCTCTGGGATTGCTTCACTTGCCTAGTCATTCATCCATCATTACCAACCCACACACTATTCTACGGAGTACAACCCGCACAATGAAACCACTCACCACGATTACCCTCTCCATACTCTTCCTCCTCCCCCTCACCACCGCCACAACACCACCCTCCCAATTATCCCCCCAACCCAAATGTTTCGCCCCCGACGGCGCCCCCGTCACCAGCTCCCTCTACCAACCCTGCATCTCCATCACCGGCGTCCACTCCATGTGCTGTCGACTCAACGCCGCGAACCCTGAAACCTGTGACCCGTCCGGATTGTGTATTTCCAGCCAAACCACCACCACCGGCACCGGCACCAGCGGCACCACTACTACCTCTTACTACCGGGAATTCTGTACCGATTCGTCGTGGAATTCAACAAATTGTTTGCCTAGGAATATTTGCGGCGATGCGGTACCTCCCTCTCCCCTTCCCCTTTGATTATACCCTACCACCATAACATGCAAAAAAGAAACTAATAATATGGGTGTGAATCCAGAACAGCGGAAACTCCAACTGGAGCTACCAACTCACCCCCTGCGGCAACTCCCTCTGGTGCTGCGGCAGCAGCACAGCCTGCTGTTCCACCGGCCAAGCATTCAAACTCAACCGCACGCTGATCAACTTCCCGGACTTACAGAGATCGCTCGATTTGTCGGCCCCCACTGCTACGGTGACAGTCCTTCCCGCTGGGGAAAATAGTGATGGGAGTGCCGGTATGGAGCGCGAGAGCGGGATGTCAAGGAAGGCGAAGATCGGGGTGGGGATTGGGGTGCCGGTGGCGTGTTTGGTGATGGGGTTGGTGGGGGTGGGTGGGGGATTTGTTTGGGGGAGGAAGGTTGCTGCTGGTGGGAGGGGTAGGGGGGATGGAATGGGAGGGGATGGGGAGAGTGTGGGGATGGAGAAGCCGAAGGGGTCGTTTGGGAGTGAGGATGATGGGGCGAGTACGGCGCCTTGTTTGCAGGTTGTTAAGTCGGGGTAGTTTGACTCAGTGGGACTGGGTTTATTGGGGTGGACTTCGATGGGATGTGTGTATTAGTATTGTTATTTGTGGCTGAGGCTGCTTTGGATTTACAGCGTTACCCTCATTGATACAGATGAGAGATGTTAAAATTGATACTGCTTCTGGGAAATGATTCCACCATGACAGGTCCACCACAAACCAACTGGCTAAAAGAAGTCCGAAGCATCCATCCCTAATTGAGATATTTCCAATTAGACAGTGGGCTTGTCAATCCCGCTGTCAAAAAGCGGAAAAAAGTAAAAAGAATGGGGCAAGCCGGGCTTGAACCGGCCACCTCCAGATCTTCAGTCTGACGCGCTCCCAGATGCGCCATTGCCCCTTCTTGTTGTGATTGGCATGTTATTACACCACATAAAGGAAAATTGTGTTCTGCATTCTTCACGTCAACTGCATGTCAACGGGTGGCTGCATTTCTGTGGAGCTTATACAATACCAAGGGGTTGCTTTCTATGTAGAGTGAAAACTTGAGGTAGTGTGCTTAACTTCACTCTCAGGCTCACTGGCAATAGTATCTTTCTTTGCATGGGAAAGCCATGGTGTTTTCTCTGTTAATGCAGACTGCTTGGATGTCATCCATCGATATATATTTTGTTCCGGCTCTGGTTATACAGGACCAAACTCCAAGTGCTAATGGAACACTCCCACAGCAAAATACACAATACCAATTCAACATACCATAGATTGATACAAGATGCCCCATCCACTGAGTGACAGCTATGGTGTCGCATAAACTATACAGAGTGTAGTGCTTAAGCCTATCTGTAACCCGAGCCAATCCGCGGGTCAATTTGGGTTCGGTTCGGTTTGGGTTGGGTCAGGTTATCCATCCCAGGGGTTCAACCCAGTCAGTTACCAGGTAGTCGGTTAACCGGCGGTTACCCACACCATGTCAGTCGGGTTATGCGGGTTAAGGTTGAACCCCAAACCGAACCGACCCAATTCGACCCATGTAGGTGTCTAATATAGATAGTAATGAACCGGGGCGGTTCAGTTTGGACATTTTCAAATTGCTCCAATGAGTTGGTTTGAAACTGACCTGTTCTAAAACAATGCGGTTTAGATATTTTCAAACCGAACTGTTTTTCATGGCGGTGCGGTTTTAAAACGAACCCGTTTGCTTGGTGTGCGGTTTTTGGTTCTGAACCGACCTGTTTACGATACGGCGCGGTTTAGAAAAATGATAAAACCGCACTGAAAAGCCAACAATTCGGGGAACCAACCCGACAGAAAACCGAACCACGTCATCGTCAATTATGTAGATTGTAGATTTACTATCAACTCTTGTAGTATCCAGTGGATCTGGTCATCTACACCCATGAATGTATAGAGTGCTTTGGGCTATGACCTGTATGTACCAAAAGAGACAGCATCAATTGACGAATGGGGACGTATCGTATACTCGTTGGCAGTGAGAGCTGTTTCCTTAACGAGCTATTCCTCTGCCGGACTGACGCTATTCTAATGCGGATTGTCTTGCATTTTTGTATTATCTATTCTTTGTAGATATACGGTGTATTTTGGCACAAGCATGACTGTTACTACCACCCAAGATACAGGCGTCCCTCCTTCGCCTGGGGTGGCCGAGTAAGCATCCCGACTCTCATAATTCCTACCGCTATACTCCGTAATGAAACTCTACATAGCATATATAGTCTAGCCCATCATATTCCTACAGCCTCTCAACCACCCGATCAGCCCATCCCTCCGGGATGACCGGATTCGCCAAGAACTGCTGGAGATAACCCCTGAACTCCTCTGCCGTCTGCTCTTTGTGAACGGCCGAGACGGGGGTGTGCGTATTTGGAACCTTCCCACCGGAGCAACAATACACCTCACTGCCAAAGGAACAGCCAGATTCGGTACCAGACAAGAACACAGACTGCCCAGCAACGCGTACCGAGTCAGCTGGACAGCTGCCACTGCAATCGTCACCATTGGAACGTGTCGTCCACTCGCACTTGGAAAATATATCCGGTACTGATGAGCCTGAGCAGCAGTAATTGTAGTGTTCCTCGCCATTGCACGACTGGCGACCACCAGATCCCCGACGTGAGCCTACCACGAAGTGGTTGTAGCCCGATGGACAGGTATCATCGCTTTGGCATGTTTGGGACCACTTACACTGGGCCCAGGGCTCAGTAGATTTAGTGATGCTACAGCAGGCTGATTGATAACCAGAAGTACAACCTGCTATACTAGTCCCCACTTCAGCCTCGTCGCTGTTACACCCTCCTGTACACCCCCCTGTCTCCAGGGCACCCCGCCACTGACAAGTCGGCACCTTGCCAGAGGTCGGACAGCACAGAGTCCGTGTCTGCTCCGAGGCTGCAGAACCCCCCATCGAATCCTGCATAATCTGCTCCGGTTCATCAGCCCGAACAACCTCCGTAAACCCATTCGGACAAGCAGCCCCGCAATTCGCAAACCGGCAGTACTGATTCTGACTCGACTGGCTTCTACTCCCCGCTGTCGTCGATTTCTCATTAAAAGCAACTTTAGTCAGACCTGTTTTGAGGTCCAGATTGAGCTCGTTGCCCAATGCCGCCATTAATCCTTTGGAAAAGGTATGATTCCGGTCATCTTCATCGACAGAGCGGACAAACACGCCCCCTAGACATTGGGATTTGGCGAAGTCGGCTTTGAGTTTAAATGTATCTTCGTCGTCGTAGGAGAGCCATTGGTCGGTGGGGAAGGTGAGGGTTTTGATGGCTGCGGTGCTGTCGAGGGTTGGGATGAGGTTGTCTTGGTGGATCCTTCGGTTGATCTCGCTGTTGAAGAGGGTACCGGCTGACATGCTGCATTCACCCGCATCTCCGCCTGAAAGAAATGGGCAGCCGGGTTCTGTGCATGAGGGGTCGGAGAGGGTGTAACTGCGGCCGTGGAAAGATATGCCCATGTTGACTTTGAATGGGGGGATGTTTCTGTGCCAGAGGAGGTTGAGGGAGTTTCTGATTTCGGTTAGGTTTGTATGGGCATTTATGGCCCCGGTCCACTCGTCGCCAATCTGCCCGGTGCCGTGCAGGTCGTAGGTCATGAAATTGAACCAGTCCACTGAGGGCTCGATCGCAGCTAGGTCGAAATGCTGCAAGTAATGGTCGCTTGTAGGCAGGGTTATCGAGAGACCGAACTTGTATTCATCCAACACCGCCTTCAAATTGGCTAGGAACTTGGGGTAATTGACGTAGTCTTCCGCACGCCCAGCCGCAACGGGATATTGCCAGTCGATATCAACCCCGACAAAATGATACGTGTGCATAAAGCGGGACAGAGACCGAAAGAACACATTTTGCTGGTTAATATCAGCTGCAGCGAGGTCGGAGAATGTCGTGGCTGTTGGGGCGCCATGACTGGAGAAAGCCCACCCCCCAATGGAGAGCCATAGCTCCTGGCCTAGGTCGCGCATATAGAGCGCCGATAGGTACGTGTACAGCTTCTTGTCGCGTTCAGCGGATGGGATGACTTCGAATGTGTCTGGGTGAATGCTGCCAGAGGCGAAGTAGATGTGTGAGTAGATGCCCTGGGGAAAGAAATATGGCATCATTGCTGCGCAGGGTCTGGAGACTGCACTGGAGTCATAGTAGCCGATGACGCGCGTGATGGACTGGGAGTTGACATTGCAGGTTGCCGCCACCGAGGGAAGCCCCAAGGTGACGAGAAAGACCAAGATGATTCCTACCAGCATTGTGGTACTGTTGAGGTCAGCTTAAGTGTAGGATTGAGATCGAATGTCTCACCGTGGCTGATAGCCTGCCACTTCCCGTTCGGGTAGGAACGAAAAGCACGGCAATTGCTCACACGCAGGCAAATATGAATAAGGAAAAAACGAGGAACTACAATGATAGGTGCATGAAGTGTATATTAATGTCTCACTAGGGCTGCGGGGCCCCCCTTTTGTCCCGGCTTTTCCGCTTCGGGTCCCCGAACCCTGAAATAAGCCATCAGACTTGCAACTTGGCAGACGATAGACGGAATCCACCTATTACAGCTGCCATCTCATATTAAAATGTGGTAAGTGTCTCCCCCTATATTGCTAAGCTTTATCCTCAGTGGCAGCCTAAATTGACACAATCGATGATTGTCGTGGATTGGCCGGTGCCTTGGGACCCCACGCGCTAGTCCAAGCCCCTCTCGCTTACTGGTTCGACTCAGGAACCAGGGTTTGCCCCTGGATCGGATACGGCGGATTTATCGCCCCCATAAGAGACTGAACCAGATGGTGCATATCGCATCGGACTGAGGGTCTTGCCAACTCCTTTAACCCCATCCCTCCCGCTGAGGTGCTGCACCATCCACATCTCACCATGAAAGGTATCTTCACAACCCTCTGGGCTACGACCCTCTACTTCGCGACAAGCTATGCAATAGCGCGCAACTGCCTCTCCGGCAACACATACACCACCCAAGAGGGCGATACCTGCGACTCCATCGCCCTATCCCACAGCATCTCAGCAGCGACTATGTTCTACACCAACCCCAACATCCTCAACTGTTCTTCCATCCTCCCTGGCACTCCCCTCTGCCTGCCTCTTCAATGCGACGTGTACACCGTCCAACCTGGGGATACATGCACCACCATCGCCCTGAAATTCTACAGTAGGACGCAGAATATCATCTCCTATAACTCTCAGCTGAGTTGGGATTGCTCGAATCTTCATTCGCCGGATCCGTACTGGGGCTCTACGGTGTGTGTTTCTGTTCCTGGGGGTGAGTATCCGGGGAGGTCTTTGAATAGATCGGTCTCGGGGTTGGAAGCTGTGGATCCGCCGGTTGGGGTGGCTGTGGCGATGGGGAGTACGATGGAGTGTGGTGCGTGGTTTGTGTATGATGGTGATGGGGGTGTTTCTTGTGTGAAGATCTGTCTTGCGAATGGGATTTCTATTGGTGATTTTATTGTGGCTAATCCGTCGCTTGGGAGGAGGTCCTGTGATTCGGATTTGGTTGTGGGTGGTGCTTATTGTGTGAAGCCTTTGGCTGTTTAGCTGGGGTGGTTAGGGAGATGGCCTGTGTTCATTTATTTATGAAATAGAAGGGGACTTGTATTACCAACTTATTGATCTTCAAGTAAGGCACATATTGTGAGGTATGGCATAGATTACACATACTACAGATATTCCCCCCAGTTACTTAAGTGGCTGATCAGTGGGTATATCGCAAGTAGTCATATTTGTCTCCGGCCGCTGATAACCTCATATCATTACCCTACAAGGAAGCGGTAGGACCCGGGACTGATCTACCCTAGTGGATCAGCCATTCTACGAATGGTGATCCTTTCGAACTTGGCAAGTTGACGAACAGTACACATACTATCTCGAACTCAAGGGTCCAACGATCCAACTCCACAAGATCACTCTACCCACTCCACTACACCCCACCACGTCCCATACTACTATGATAATACACCTACACACCTACAGTGCACACACACAATCTAAGATGGTGACAATAACACAATATAGAAAGATACTAATCTAATACTCAGTAAAGTGACCATGACCTCAACTATAGAAGCGAAATAGAATACAAAAAAACCGTTCACACAATGTACCATCTTCAGACATGTAAATGTATCAAGGTGGAGCAAACGCAACGCGACATTGCAACAGACTAAGCAGTCTTTGCGGCCTTGGAGGCCGTCACCGTCTTAGTGACCTTCTTGGTAGAAGTCACGACCTTGGTGGTCTTAACGGTCTTGGTCGACTCAGCAGTCTTGGTAGTCTTCGCTGCTGTCGTCTTGGCCGCCGCTGTCTTGGTTTGCGTGGCCGTCTTGGTGGACTTGGTCGATGACTCAGAAGACCCAGAAGAGGAAGAGGAAGACGCGACATAGACATCACCGACAGCATTGACCGATCCACTGGTCAGGAGGTATCCATTGGCCGTGTAAAAGTAGGCATAGCCGCCGACCTTAGGATGGGAGTCAAGCCAGGCAATCGATTTCTCGAGAAAGGTCTTCGCCGTGGCCTGGTCGGAGATACCGTTGGTATCCGCATCAAGGGCGAACTCGGTAAGCCAGACCTCGTCGATATCATAATCGCCCGCGGTGCTGATGGCCTTGGTCATGAAAGATTCGAGCTGTGCGAATGAGCCACCGTACCAGTGGACAGCCAGCGCGGAGATGTTGCAGCTCTTGCAATCGCTCATGAACGTTTTGAACCAGTTGAGACCCTGACCGGAGTTTTCGGAGGAGGTCACGGCGGGACTGATGAGTGTGGCGCGGTCTCCGTAGGGAGTGATGTATTTCTCGTACAGGGTGGCGGCGCTGGAGGCGGACATGTCGGCTTGCGAGGTCATGTCGGGTTCGTTGAAGCCCAGGATATGGGTACTACCGCCGGAGAGCGCTTTCTCGACGGCGGAGGTCCAGGTGGATACCGATCCGCTTCCCCAGAGCATAGGGACGAATTTCACCCCCGAGGGCATGTCGCCGTCGGCTTCTTGGGCCCAGTTGTATGACCATGATACGGCGCCGGACTTGGCGTTCGCCAGAGTCTTGACGAGAGAGGCATCGTTATAGGCAGCACCGCGCTTGCTGGATGCTTCGGTGAGGGCGGCGATGAGCCCGAGGGTGAAGAGCTTGGTGAAGGAGACCATGGTGATGGCTGTTCGTTGATTGCACAGCTTTGGTTGATCAAAAGGAATGGATGGTTATCAAACCGAAGGGAGAGAATTGCAAGTCAAAAAGAGTGACTAGTAATAAAAAGAATGACAACTGCGCACAGCACAGGATTGAATAGCAAGAGGCACGGTGAGAAAACTGCAGAGCACATGGGGAGAGGGGGTTTTATGTAGTGCCCTGCATGACAGACATTGGGTTGCAGCCATAGACGGTCATCCATCAGCCAACAGAGCAGCACCTCCGACAGTCGCAAATCCTGGGATTTATTAAGGGTCACCCTGAAGCCAGGATTTGGCTTACGATAGGTTCCTGGTGCGCAGAAACGACATCTGCAGCCAATGGCAACCCAGCAGCATGGGGCCAAAAGACCAGAGCAGGGCTGACTGGCCCTTGGTGTCTCATTCCCAGCTTGGCCAGTTGGGGGTGCCTGACTAGAGCAGGCGCAGTCAGTTGGGGGCCATCCATCCTCGTTCTGTCGCTGCCTCAGGCCGCAACCCGAAGAACACTAGGGCATGACCTAGGTCACATGACGTCCATATGCAAGATTCCGCTTACTCAGCAACCATGTGTTGTTTCACGTGACCGCACAGTGGAATCTTCGATTCAGGGGGATCGACCCAGGCATCATCATTCCGAAATGATGGCCCACCTCGATCAATTATCCCAGCGACGTCGGTTTGATCCGAGAGTTCATCAGTCCATTGTCAAGGACCTGTAGCCGACATAATATAGGGCAATAACCAGCAGGTATGGAGTATCCCTACAGGTAAGTGTTCGGTGTCGGAGAAAACGACTCGGTAACTCGTCAACATAGACTCTTTGGTATGGCATTTGAGGCGCAGGGTGACCAAGTCGGAGGAAACTTCCGCATTCGCCAACTACCCATTGAATGGAGCAGCCGTTCAATCTTGAACTTGAAACACGACAGGACCATTGCTGGTGGCGACTCATTGCAGTCGGCTGGCCGTGCACGTGCTCCCACCATTCCAGCAAATTTTTATCTGGCCTCAAGCTCTTCATCTCCATCTGGCGACTTATCATCTCTCGCTGGTCGTGTCAGAATTTCTCGTGATGGGCTGACTGCTGAGACGGTAATGGCTTCAAGCATAGATTCTTCTCGGATCGAAGCCCGAATCCATGGCTCGGATCAGGATTTTGACGCCGCCCATCTCCCGAGGTGGGTCGGTAGGCAGCCACCATCAGGACGAACAGGATGATTGGATTAGCCAGCTAAGGTTCTCGGCTAGTGCCGTGCTATACGCATGCACTTACGTGATGGCTGGTCTGTATACTGAAAATTCATGTCCCAATGCCTCGTTGGCTCCAGACCACGGCGTCTTTGGAATGGATTCACGGTATCCAGATCGTAAAAAGCTTATTCTCATGGGGATCCTCAAGCGTACCTCCATCGCCTTATTATAGTCATCGTGGTGGCCCGATGGGGATGCCGCAAACACGGACATGGCTGCGTGGGGTATACGCGGTCCTCTGACGCGTCACCATCTATTCATGGAATCTCTGGTTGAGGAAGGACAAACGGTCTCCTTGGCCGTCGAAAACTTGGACCAGGACTCCACACGCGCGGACAATGATATAACCGTACAAAAGCCCTCGGGGTGCAGCCTGCCAGGAGGGCCAACACACCCAACATTCGTTTATAGTCCAGCCCTGGTAGACCCAAGTCTCGACTTTGCTTCTCATCCACTATCGTTCATCTCAATTGTTCATACCCTGTCCCTCGTTTGTAACTGTTCACTTAATTCGCTATGAGACTTCTCCCTGTGGCTGCTGGTGCAGCCCTTTTTGCCAGCTCGGCTCTGGCTGTTGATCCCATTGTGATCAAGGTATGCCCCTGAGATGCTTTTCATGAAAATCAAATCTAATTCCTGCAGGGCTCCAAATTCTTCTACTCGAGCAATGACACTCAATTGTAAGTCTGCCTCATCTCCTGGTACAACGAGTTCTAACAGTTCCAGCTTCCTCCGTGGTGTAGCATATCAACGTTGGTCGCCATCCTCCTCGTCGACGAATCGCCACTAACACTGCATAGAGAGCGATACTGCTGACCCTCTTTCCGACAAGACCACTTGCGAGCGCGACATTCCCTACTTGAAGGAGCTGCGCACCAACGTCATCCGTACCTATGCCATTGACCCTACTGCCAACCATGACGACTGCATGGAGCTTCTTGCGGATGCAGGCATCTACGTTGTCTCCGATCTTTCCAACTCGACCGTCGCCATCGACCGCAGCGACCCGGCGTGGCAGCTTACTCTCTACGACCGGTACACAAGCGTGATCGACGCCCTGGCCGGTTACAACAACACGCTCGGCTTCTTCGCGGGCAACGAGATTGCCAACAGCGTTGGAACCACCGATGGCATGCCGTATGTCAAGGCGGCGGTGCGCGACATGAAGACCTACATTAGCAGCCAAGGCTACCGCTCGATGGGTGTCGGTTACGCCACCGCTGACGTTGCATCCATCCGGGGTGATCTGGCCGATTTCCTCAACTGCCAGAGCGAGTCTGTCGGCATTGACTTCTTCGGTTACAACATCTATTCCTGGTGCGGTAACTCGACCTACTCGGAGTCCGGATACAAGGACCGTACCGAGGAGTTTGCCAACTACTCCGTCCCCGTCTTCTTCTCCGAGTACGGCTGCAACAGTGTCACCCCCCGCGAGTTCACTGAGGTCAAGGCTCTCTACGGTGATGAGATGTCCCAGGTGTGGTCTGGTGGTATCGTCTATGAGTACTTCCAGGACACCAACGACTATGGTATGCTACCTTAAAATACATGGTATCATCCCGACTAACCGAATAGGATTGGTTTCCGTGATCGACAGCACCAGCGTCAGCAAGATGACCGACTTCACCTACTACTCCAACGAGATCGCCACCGCCAGCCCCAGCAGCACCAACAAGGCCTCCTACACCCCGACCAACACCGCCCTGCGCAGCTGCCCCACCGAAGACTCCTCCTGGGAAGCCATGGCCACCCCTCTGCCTCCCACTCCGGACTATGACCTCTGCGAATGCATGGTCAACGCCGCCACTTGCACCGTCGATGACTCGGTCGACTCGGACGACTACGGTACCCTCCTGGGCAGTGTCTGCGGTGACGTTTCCTGCTCCGGCGTCGACGGCAACGGCACCACCGGCGAGTACGGCGCCTACAGCATGTGCAACACCAAGCAGCAGCTGGTCTTTGCTCTGAACTACTACTATGAAGTCCAGTCCGCGTCCGGCTACGCCGCCTCCGCCTGCAGCTGGGGTGGATCCGCCACCACCAAGTCCGCCACCTCGGCCACCGGCACCTGCAAGACCCTGATGTCCGAGGCTGGTACTGCGGGCACTGGCAGTGTTACCTCGAAGGTTACTGCCACCGGATCGTCCAAGTCGGCCACGGCTACCTCGACTTCTTCTTCCACCTCCGCGGCCTCGCAGTCCGTGAACGTCGGCTCTCTGCAGCTGGTGTTCTACATGGCTGTGGCCGTGGTTAGTGGACTGGGCATGATCATGCTGTAGAGATTGCTCGATGGATTTATTTCTTTCTTTTGCTGTGATCGATTGGTCGGTAGATATGTATCTGTACTGAGACGTTCAATAGCATTATTTTATCATATTATAGTTTCCCTTTGGAAAAGACCCCCAGTAAACAAAGTAAATCTTATCCAACCATGATGGAATGAGTGTCTTATTTCATACATCAATTCTCGTTGGTTGACAGCTCATACCGCAGTGGCAAATACTACAACAAGACACTTTGGCCGAGTGGTTTAAGGCGCAGGCCTGCTACTTGCTGTTCCTAGTGACTAGTAGATTAGCCTGTGGGTTCGCCCGCCTGGGTTCGAGTCCCAGAGGTGTCGCGTGATATCCTTTTTGGTGGTTTTTTTTGGTGAGGTGAAACCGGCCCTGTGGAGGTAGCTAGATTCATCGGGATATGTGTGGTAGGGGAGAGTTGCTACTTGGTAGACAGGGAATTCTGATTCGATGAATAGTGAGTGTGAGGCCAGATATTCGGTAGCTGATGTATGATATAGCTCTTTGGATCGAGGGGTTTTTCGTATTATTTGTCGCTTGAGCATATCGTAGCATGAAGTTGGTGCTTTGAGAGGTGGAATGCTCCGAGTGGAGCTGAGGTTGCTAGTTACTTATGACATTTATTATGTCCTTCAAAGTACTAGTGGACTGGAACAGTCAGCTCGAAATGCTCTCTCGTTAACTCTAGCTAGATAGCAGTACTCCAAATAATGGCGATGTAAACATACCGGTCATGTGACCGATACCTTAACCAGGGCTGCATTGAAGCCCAACTCAACACCATGTAATAATTCATTCAGGAACATTGCAAATAACAACTACATATCACAGCTTGTTTTTGTACAGGGGAATAAAAAGAAAAAGAAATATGCGACACCTCGGGACTCAAACCCAGGCGGGCGAACCCACAGGCTAATCAGCTAGTACGGTAAGGTAGTAGCAGGCCTGCGCCTTAAACCACTCGGCCAAAGTGTCTAGTTCTGAGGGAGTTGGCTCGGAAGCGTCCTATGTAAATAAAAGCATCAAGCTAGGCAGTAGCTATCCCTACTATTTTCCCAAAACTGCTCGCCTCCGAGTCAGAAGCTGGATTGGTGCGGTCCCTGCGGCAAGCACGCTGCAATACACACCGCTTAGGGACCCGTCGCTCTTTCCAACTTTTACCTCAGCAACGTAGATTCCCTCATCTATAGCATTGCTAAAACTAGAGGCTTCACAAATGGTCTCAAGTGAGCGATGGCACGGATACGGCAATAACGTGATTACCCTCTGGTCACTCCGCGGAGGATCACGTCTCTCAATAAAAAGTGGGAGAAGCCTGGGACCAAAGGAAGTCTCTGAACAATATTGACTGCTCAGATATGCCAAAAGACAGTGACAAGCATTCATAGTCATCCACAGTCTGTACATCCGGCATGCTAATGGCTCACCAGTCTGAATAAGATGATCTAGTCACTGTATAAAATCACTTCATCCTCTTAGCTCTCATCGAGCATCTGACTTCCATCTGTTCAAAAGAACATCACCCTTACATCGCAGCAATACGTGATGCCATAAATTTAGTGCGAGCATAATTGGATGTTAGTGACGCCATACTTATTGACAGGCGAAAACCACCAGTAAGATGAGAAAGAACACATATGGTAGCATAAATACATCTACTGTGCAGAGTAGAGCTCTTCTTTGCACATGCCTCGAGATGGGGATGAAAATGCGGACTAAAATCTCTGCAGAGTTAATCCCCTATTCCTTGCAAGATGCAAGTACATTCTTCACAATCTCGACTGTTTCGAAGTCCAATCTAATCTAACCTAGTGTCATATGCATACATCTTCAACAGTCAGCCATGGTTCAAACATCCCAATGACCAACACTCTGAGTAGGCGCAACATCCCTTCATGGATAGTTATTTTCAACCCTACTTAGCATTTTCAGATTTATCATACTACCTCGGAAGGCTGCCACATGATTTTCCACTAGAACCTTGAACACGGTGGCCACTTTCCCAGCCTGGATCGAAACATTGTCCCTAATATTCCACACCTGTAGCGCCTTCCTAAATTAGAACCGAGAATGTGGCAGCCTGATTGATATCTATCATATATTTGCAATGCCGTCATTTTGCAGTGGAATTAGGATTTCAGTCCCACCCGGCAGAGGGTTTAGCCAAGCGATGATGAGTGAGACATTATTCGATTGATTTTTGACAGGGAATAGGATGTCATAGACATTTCATGGTGCTGATTAGATTAACCATCTTGTAATCGTATATTCATCAGTTGCCATGACACATCTATCCTCCCCACCACCATGCATCCTGTCGTCAATCATCCCTATTCAATACCCTATGATCCTGCCAAACACACTCTAGGATGAAATATCTCTTGACTTAAGCCATGGCCTCGTCCAGGATTAATGCATCGCGCACCAGCCATGCGGGAATCTATTGCCTTGTTCGGTGTTGATCACCACGGTTATTTTGAAATCAGGATTCGCAGACTTTCCATCTCATGGCATATGAAAAAATATGGCCGAATGCGGGTACCGGTCATGTTCACGTGGTCGTCCTGCTGAATTATCTCCTCTCACTCACAACCCTACATTACAAGATAAGCTTTGTATCATCCTTGATATAATATCTACGCTATCCCCTTCTACACCTTCAAAAGAAATCCCTTCGCGGTGGAGTACTGCAGCAAACCCAACGACGCCTGGATATGGAATATGAAAGCCTTTCATCAAAACTCCATACTCGACGGTCATATACCAGGTAAAGATCCCTGCCTAACCTGTGTAAACATTCGCGGGTTATTACTATGTTTGGTAGGACAGCAATGCTCATTTCAGAGCAAGAAGACCCGAAGAAGAATAAAACGAAGGCCGACAATTCCCAGCTATGGCTTCTGGTAGTCACATAGCCATTTGCATTGGCTGAAGATAGCTTGGGGTCAGCTTTTACAACAGGCGATATCGCTATTATTCCCTTCTGGGAATTGGCACTCCAGGGAGAAACTATTTTCCTATGATTATAGGACGCGTTCAACGGTATTGTCGATGTGCCATGACAGCCAGTTAGTGGATCTCGATAATGGGGTAATGGGACGCAAGGCCAAGGATCAGAAACTATCAGGAAATTAGCTTCGTTCAGGTGTCTATCATATTGATCTACTATAGTACATTTCGATAACTTACCAACATATTTCCGGCCTCAGAGGAAAAAATCACGATTGAGCGTTGCTACCTTGCGACGCGCCAAAAGCTCACGGCAGATATGCACCAAACACGCCCCTAAAGATGGGTCTGTTTCTAAGCATGGAAGATAAGCACACAAGTCTTTGCAAAATCAGCCAAGGAGGTTCCATTCATATGGTTCTTCTGGCTTGCATTCTCACTGAAAGATTTTTTTTTTCTCTGTAACTGCAAATGTCTCGTTGTGGGTTTATTTCTATCCTGCTGCAGTCGACCGTCTCTTAAGTTATACACTACACGATTGAGGCCAGACGACAAGCTTTATAAGACCACCCCGGCAAAGGAGCAATATTCTTCAAGGGAAAGATGATATGGGAAATGTACGCCCGATTTGAAGGGAAAGAACAATGACGCTCATGCGAAATGATTGGAGGAGGAGAACCCAAAGATATTGGACGTGCTAAACAGAACATCATATCTAAGGGGATGGACTTCGTTGCGACCAACCCCTTTGGAATAAGAATAATGGAAGGTCTCGCTGAATATGGCCCTCCCAAGGGGTCTGCGTTGCACTGGCTAGGTGACTGTTGGAAAGAAATATTGGATGGGATGAAGGGATAACTGTGGGATTTTGGTAAGAACTTTGAAGAGGTATGGTCACCTTATATCTAACAGCTTGTTTCGGGTCATCAGGGTGATCGCCAAGATATTGGCTCGAATCGGATCAAGAGTCTGCTGTAGACCTGAAAAAGCACAGGCAGTCGAATGACCTAGCCGACGGAAACTCATGACGCAGCTAGGCACCTAAGCGCGTTCAGGAAGGCGTTCGCTATACTTATCTTGAATAGCCTTGAAGCCTCCACCAGAGAGTCCGAAGTTATGTCGGGGTCTTCCTCTTCACCTGGACTAAACACGCCCACAATTCTAGACCACTCTTGACAGCTACCAGATACTTATATTTTCACTACTGCTTGCAGGTCCTACGGCAACGTCGGAAGTGATCAAAAGGAAATATTCCAGTCCTGCTCTACTATAAGTTCTTCATGCACTGTTTCGAACTTGTATCATAGCTAATGCTTCTGTTGGATTGTTTTGATGGATATCAAGCGAAAAATATCCATCCTGCGTCGTTAAAACTACAAGATACATAATCTGATCGGTAGATGGTTGGATACTTTTGGTCAGTCTGTTGACCCAGTCATATGCTTCTCTTCTCTCATTTTTTCTTAAGATAATGTGCTCGTATCAATTTACTCACACTAAATAAACTTATCCTCCACATGCTAGAACCACCGCAACCCCATCAAACCCTACTTATTCTCCTCAATATACGCCGCAATATTGTCCCTCTTCTCCACCGCCTCCTGCAACCTCACCAAAGACCCCGGAAGAGTTTCCTACCATCATCAGTAACCCAGATCCCAATTAGAACGAAGTCTCTTACCACCGCCGTCCCCGTCCTCCGATCATTATCAATAATCTGATACACCGCAAAATCGACATACGTGATCTTATCCCCAAGAAGATAAGGACCTTCACTGTCGGAGTAGTATTTTTCAATCAGGTTGAAGTACTTTGGCGCCAGTTCATTCTTATACTTGTCAGATTTTTTCATCAGGTTGCAGACCCATTCAGCCTGAACAGTTAATCCCATATCTCTAATTATGTTTATGATTAGGAATATGCGGGACTCACCCGCCAATCAATGTAAATATCCGCCACCGCATCCACGAGATATCTCTCCCAGTTGGTTTCGCCATCGTAGCGACCGAGATCGCGCGCCAGGTAGCGGAGGATTGGGATATGCTATTCCTTACTTAGATAAACTGCATAGAGAAATATTAGTTAGGCACCCACCTGCGTCAGGATATGTCCCTGATACTCGAGGGCCGGGACTTGGCCGGTTCGAGTGATTCCTTCCTCTTGCAGCTTTTGGCTGGTCTGCGGCCAGGTATCATCGAAGGGATAGCGGACTTCGGTGAAGTCGATGCCGGCGTCTTTGAGGAAGAGTCTACTATGATTAGTGGGTGCGATGAGATACGGGTTGGGGTCGGGGGGGGGGGGGGGGG